AAAAAAAAAACCAGACAGAAGAAGAGCGCACTCTGTGATCCAGGCCGTAAATAAAAAACCGTTGATATATACATTCAACTAATAGTAGAAAAAAAGAACGAAAAATGTGACCCGCACATTGTCTTTTTTTTTTACTCATCGGGAATATTCAACGGCGCGCCCGTCCACTGCCCGCCCGTCAAGCCCCTCGTAAAAGCCGTAATATCATCTCCTGCCGTCTGAAAAAACACGTACAAACTATCCCACGGTTCGGGCCCATGCGTGTCCTTGTACGCCGTAACCGTCATGTGGGTGCCTCCGAGCGCCTGCACGGGCCCGGCCGGATCCGTAATCGCAAAGGTCTCGTCTGGGACGAACGTGGTGTTTTCGCCCGCATACGTCACGTTGTAGCCCTGGATTGTGCGATCGGCCATTTGGGCGTAGAAGTAGGTGGTGTAGCCGAGCGAGGTGATGGGGTAGACGTTTCCTATTGCGGCGTTGGAGGCGTTTTGCCACGAGTTGATGGGGTGGGTTTCGGTCGAGGGTAGGCTGACGTTTGTATCTTTCCACCAGAATTCCACGGCGTTGTTCTTGTTGGCCATCATGGCGTACGTGGTTGTGCCTTCGCCCCAGGAGTAGCAGCCCACACCTGCGTGACCGTTGAAGCCCGCCCATGGCTTGATAGAGACCCATGTGTCGTCCTGGCTCCCGCTGTACCATGCGTATTGTGCAAACGTCGAGTCGTCGGTCGCGTACCAGAGATTCATTCCTTGTGAGTTTTCAAACGGCTTGGTGTTGTTGAGGCCAGAGGCGGTTGGAAATTTGGTGTAGTCTTCATCGCCGTAAAAATTGCCTTTCCAGCAGGCTTGCAGGCCCGTGGTGGGTGAGTCAAAAGCTTTGAGGTTAAGGTCGTTGAGGGGGCCATCTTGCCAGATGTCAGTAATGTTGTCTTGGGTTACTTGTCTGATGGTGTTGTTGCTGTCTATATAGAAGATGTGTGTCTTGTATTCGTTAGCGAGAAACCAATGAAAGGATAAACAAGATCACCAACATATTGTGTGGCGTTGATCGCAAAGGCCACAGCGGATATTGGCGATGCGTCTTTTACGCCGCTCGCTACGGTCTGCGCTTTTGTGCCACCAATCCACCTTTGATCAGTGCCGTACTGCATGAAACGAATGTCGCCTGTATAGTGCTGAAAGTACAAAGTGAAGATTTTGCGTTGGCCTTGATTCCACGATTCTCCAGCAAGCGCAATGCCAGTGCCGTTGAACGCGCCCTTCTTAGACACGTACTTGGCGCTGAGAGCGCCGCCAATACAGAATTCCGGGTCTTTGCGACAGGAAGGATCGGCTGAGTTGTCTCTATATTTAGAGTTAGCACGCCACGACTTGGAAGTGGTTAGTAGAATCATTCTTGTAGGACATACGAATCATTGTTTTCCAGGCCGAGACCCAAACCGAGACCTAGAGCAAGGCCAATAACGGCGAGAATAATCACTCCGAGCAGGATAAAAAACGTTCGCTTCTTCAACCCACATTTCCTGTCCTCCTTTGGCGGTGCAACTACTGGCTCAGGAGCATTCTCGGGGGCATCAGATGGATCGACGTGCTCCTTGAACCCATAAGGTCTTACGTGAGGCGAGGCGAGGGTAGTCCCGCCATGTGATGAAGGAGACATTGGCCGGCCGGCTTGAGGGTATAGGCTGAACTGGCCTGGTACAACTTGAGGTGCTGAGAAGTCTGGTGTTGGGGCGATAGCGGTTGCATGTTGATTTTGTGGAGTCTCTTTTTCCGTCGAGTACCTGTGCTAAGTTCAGAACAATGCACAACGGTATTTTTTTTAAAAAAAAAAGCAATTTGCACGTCTCGTTCTCTGAGCAGATGTAGATGGACACGAGTTGAATCAGTCATGCACATACCCTTGTTGGTAGATTTCGTAGTTCTGTGGTGGTGGTGGAGGGTGCCGCGAATGCTCCAGGTCGTACGGCAGCGGCGGTGACACAGTCGGCGGGGAGCTTTGGCTTGGGTAGGATTGCGACGCGATCGGTGAAGGGTACTGTTGGTCATGTTCCTGGAACTGAGGAGGAGGAGAACTCCATTGACTCTCTCTGTAACTGTGGGCACTGCTCAAATCGTCACGGTATTCCTCACGTCGATCCATCTTGACCCATTGAAAGGATGAGAAGGGGCAGGAAGGGTGGGTCAGGCTCTTAACAAACAGGTAGGACCCTAACAGTGGGAGCTCATGCCGGGTGGGTATGTAGCTAATACAGTTACGCCATGGTCGGCTAATACGGGAAAGCGACTTTGAAGTGTCAAGTCAGGGTAAAACGCATAATAAGAACGCCTGCATGCACCTGGGTTACCCATTTACGCAGCTAGGCATACCGCTTACACCCACAATAAGCAACAGCTGTTAATTTGTGTCGATTGTCAAGCCAATGGGGCTTGGCTGGACTGGACTCATCGTCAGCACAATCATCCGTGCATGGAGGAACAGCGATCGAGGTTGCCCATTCGTCGCTGGCGAAGCATATGCATTGAGTTGCTATCATAGCTTATACCACAACAGGCCAAACATACTATGCGATCGGCCAGCCGGTTATCTCGTATAACCGTCCTAGCTTTCCCATGGGAACAGGAGCAGACGGCGTCGCCTGCTAAAACTCGCCCTCGATTTACATAGGTTGGGCTGTGCAATGACGAACCGAAATGCGAAAAGAAAGGCGGTGGACTCCTGGAAACTCACCAGTGTAACCTGAAAACGGCTGTCACAGCTCGAGCCGGAGGTGGCGTCGGGGCTGGAGGGCAGGCTAAGATTAGGTTGGTGATTCGTGGATGGGTGTCTCCCGCACGCACTGCCCCTCGCGTCGGTCCCGCTGATCGTAGCTCAGCTGGGGGAGGAAGAAAGCTTATTATTTGCCAGTTTGGACAGTGGTGTGGCGGAGGGAGCGGTTGGGGTGACTTGGTTTTGGGACGGGGCGGAAGAGTGCTGAAGCACTTCCGGCGACCCCGCAACGGCAAACTTCGACGGAGGGCCCGGCTTACCGCCAGTACAGTCGGCTTTGGGATGCCTTCAGACGGCGATGCTAATTTGTGTCTTTGGCCCATTGGCATGCTGTGTGAATGGGGTTGTGGGTGCGACTATGGGTATGGTTTGTGAAGCTATTCACTAGCCACTCGCGCACTACGTAGGTGGTGCACTTTGTTACATCCCGATAGGTAGCTTCCCTCGGCGAGCATCGTGCCATCAGGCCGAGACTCGAATCTAAACTTTGCAACCGAAAAGTCTTGACTGGGAATAGATGCGCAGGGTCAGCATTAAGGCCCTTGTTAGTCATCTTAGGTGATCCAAGACATGAAGATCAGCAAGTGCGGAAGGAAAAGGGTAGAAAACGACCCGTTTTCTATCCTGCGCATCCAGAAAAAGCAACCAAGAACGGAACAAAGCCATACAGAGTACATACGCTTCGTGTCTCTCAGACTTGTATGGTCACTTGGAGTGCTGGAATCTCTTTTGCCGAGAGGCATTTGCACAGAAGCACTGACCGTTGGCAATGGCGCGAGTAAGTACCATGCTCTCGACGCCCGAGCATTATCAAGCAAAGACACCGGATATGTCGCGTTTCAGTCATGTCGCATTGGTGGTTCGCTAGTCGATGGTCTTTTAGAAAGGCCGCAAAGTATTGTATTGTATTGTATTGGCTTGTGCCTAGAGGAGTGGTTTGGCACGCATTGCTCCGAGATGCGTGTTGCAACATGCCTGCTTGGCTCACATTGTCTCGAAGATGTAAACAGAGCGACATCAAACAACTCTGATACACCATTTGCATTTTCGAAACCAGAGTCGGGTGAATACTTCGGTACAATCTGGACTGCCTTCGGAAATGTTTGCGTAAGGTCGCCAAACGTTGCGAGGAGGAGAGACTCGTTTGTGTTCAGGGAAAGATGGCCAGGCTACTCATGAACAAGGCATTTCAATTTGGGTGCCTTGAAACATGTCTTTGGACTAAATGCTGTATACGAGATGATCAAACATTGAGGAAAAATACCTGTGCCGCCGAATGGCATGTGCAAATGCGAAGCATTGATAGTAAGTAGACATCTGCGAGACGCGCTAGACATAGGTTTTGTCATCAGTAAGTAACTGCCGCACTCCTACTATCCAGATATTAAACTGGCTCGAGGGGTACGCAATCAATAGAGACAACGGTGAGAAGGCCACACAGACTATAAGGGGCTCGACTGAGTGAAACGTCGCTATGGCACGCAGCTAGGTATGCTTGCGGTCCCGGCTTTCTGAGCCAAGTAAGTAGGTATGGCAGAGTACTGTAGGGTTGCGACTCGCATTTCACACATGACCAAGCCAGGTCTTTGCATCGCGTAAGTACACCATGTACTCCAAGCACTTTATGTCGATGCGCCACGGAAATGATGGCAAGAGACGAGGCTAGCATCGGCGCTTTTGAGATTGCACTGAAAAGGTCATAGCGGAAGTTGGGGTAGTGGCTGTTGGTAACCCGACACAAGCCTTGTTCTCTGGCGAAGGCGGAAGATATACTCGCGCAGCGTCGAGCTTACCACTATCGAGCAAACCATACGCTTTCTCCTGTCAGATGCGGGCGCTTTTTGGCTGCCATCGTCCCGTCGGCAGCCGTGGAGTGTATTGTATGTACGGGGTGTATCGAGGGTTGGTTCATGGCACGGGGAGGGAGGCCGTATGACGGTCATCAGGCCAAGTGCCGGTTGGTACGTGACGTGAGAAGGATTGACAGCTGGGCTTGGTACGCCGCAGCAATGGCGCGAGATGGTGTCAGACTGGTCAGCATGCGCTCTCAGCAGGTGTGGACGGTGATGAGGATGTGGGTGTGCGTATACTTACGTAGATGGATGTCACATGACCAAGAAGATAGTCACGTGAACATTCACAGGGAACGCCTGCACGGCCACAGTCGGACCGCCGCCGCAGCCAAAAAAGCAAAAAGGGAAAGTGCGAGGATCAAATGAAATGAGTCAGGCATGACGCACAGTCCTCTCAGCCCACACAGCCCGCCCGCTCTCTCCGCCCGAAACCAGGCCAGGCGAGACGGCGACGGCCCTTTCTCTGTCCCCTTTGCACAGACACACATCCATCTTGTCCATCTCACCCTCGCCTTCACCACCTCCCCCAGCACTGAAGACGCGACCCCCCTCGCGCTCTCCAGTGACGCGCTGCACACACACGCACATACCCACCCGTTCACGGCATCCATAGCGAACATCCCTCTCGCTCTGTCCGGCCCCTCCCCCCACTTCAGCAGCCGACGCCGACCCAAGAGCACGGCAAAACCCCGCGCGACATCTCGCGAACATTCCACCCATATCCACCAGGACCAAGGAATGTGCTGCTACTCCCCCACAATCATGGCTTTTCCCCGGTACTCCAACCTTCCTAAGATCGAGAAGTCGGGCGACGTTGTCGGCACTGCTCGTCGCGTCTGAACGCGGCGTCCACATATCGGTTATTTTCTCTCCACCTCCCTAGCCTGTTGGTCAACAAAAAAACAAAAAGAAAGACTGCACGCCCAAGGACACCTCTCTCCCTGTAGACTGTCCCGGTTGTTTGCATTCACAAGCGTTTGCTGAGTGACGTCGGAATCCACGCGACCCGCCAAAGCCTTCACTTTCACCATCATTGTGCGTTGCGCACAACGGCTGCGACCGCTTTGTTCGCTTCAGCCGACGAATCGACGCTCACCACAAGCTCATTCACGCCGCCCTATTTGCTCCCACAAATCCCCTGGCACTAGTCGTCACATTCGGCTCACCCGGACAGCTGAACCGTGGTTTTCCAACACCGTGACGTAGTTTGTCTTCTCTAAAATCCCCTCCACATATCACATTCCTGGGCCACCACGCTCTCGAAAACTATCGCGCCTCTCAACAACACCTGGTTACAGAGACATCCTCCCATCAGAAACCTAGCACTTGTTTTCATCGCACCCATACCACACAATACCATGGCCCATCCGAAAATACCCGCCAGCGTCATTCTGTCGCCGCGCGAACTAAAACTGTACAAGCGTTGGCAGTGCTTGCACGCAAACATCCGACCAAATGAGCAAGGCTACATTCCCACAGCCGGCGAGTACGAAGACTTTCAGCAATGGCTGAAGCGACAAGACTCTGGCTATTTTTCCGACATATTCGACGACATTACTGGCCACATCGCGCCTCCCACTTCCGGAACCAACAAGTCAACGTCAAACTCGCCCGTCGCATCAGTCTGCCAGCACACTATGCACCCGACAGCAGCCGGCCAACTCCAGTCCCGATGCCCTGTGTGTACAATTGATATGCACGTCAAGTACATGCACGTATTGTCGCAAGCCCTCGAGAATGCAGGTGGTCGTGCGCCATCATGCACTCTGACTAGCTCCGAGCATCAAGACACTGTCTACAATGCGTGGTGCAAAGGCAAGATCGGCGCCCTCAAAGAACTCTCGGTTATTGAAAACATGGCTGCACAAGAGGCTGAATGGTCAGCACGACATCCAGAAGAGAGTCACGAACATGCACAAACCGCGTCCAAGGCACTAGATCTGTATTGGGCCGAGACCACAGGACGTGTAGAGGAGCGATCGCGTCCCAAACGGGATTCTGCCGTTGCATTCGCAGAGGACACGGATTTTGAGCCCGGAAGACCTAATCCGTACTTTCATCGGAGATCACCGCGCTACGAACCCGGCAAGTACACTGTGGTTGACGATGATGGTGACGACCATGACGAGGACATGATCTCAGAAGACTCAGAAGACTACTCCCACGTAAAGAGTTGTCATGTCACTGGTGCTGAAGAGCCAATCGCCGAATTGCTTGAGTCATTCCAGAACCTTGACACAATCAATGAAATCGAAGATGACGATGGCGATAGTGACTGGGAAGACGTCGAATCTGACGACGAGTACAGTGATGAGGATAGTGAGGGCAGCTGCACGTATTGGGAAGTTGAAGACGAGGCCAGCTTCATCGTTTTCGGCGAGGACTGAGCTATTTCCAGCGCTAGCCTTGTACAAAGACTACCATCGCGACGCCAAATTACATGCCATAAGGTCACTGTATCGAAGAAGCACACTTTTTGCAAAAGGCGGAGGTGCATATGAAGGAGGAAGCAGGAAAGACACGCGCCCGGTTCGGGGATAGAAGAGCATCACCCAAGAGCAGAGGATTACTCATTCGAACTGTACATATACATTCAAGAGCCATTCAAGATTAGAGCGAAGAAAGGGTTCAAAGTGCTTGTCCCTGGCACTCTATCATCATGAAAAAAAAGACATGACATTACCCGTAGCATACAACATGCACGGCAGAGGTTCAACAGGAACTCTCTAGTTATCATCAGTAGCAAACAAAAAATCAAATTTTAAACAATTTTCTCATATCTTCATCTCTTCGTGATTCATTTTCTCGTGCAAGAGCGATATGGTGCGCGTGAAATATGCTGCTACCAAAATAGACACAAGTACACGAGACCATGCATTGTCGCCTCAGGTTCATGCCGCATCTCCTTTACTGACACTTGCGCATGGAACCACCTTGTTGGCACACGCGGCAGAATGCCTAAGAAACAGTAGCGCGTGCCAGTTGTTGAAGGGGACTGTTTCAAGTGGCCTTGTGGTCTTACCTAAGGGGGGTTTTACTAATACGACTCACTTAGGGGCCTCTAGGGGTTTCTAGATGTGTTCGTGGGGGTTATAGTTTTTTTAGGGGGGTTGTTTTGCTATTGGTGAGGTTTAGGGGGTGGAGAAAGGAAGAAAAGGTAGGAGTTGATTTTGTTGATTATGAGAAATGATGAAGGGATAGAAGGAGCAGTACGTAAATGTATATTATTTAGGTACTGCAAAAAAAAAACTAATCGCATCCAATATATGGTGTTCAGAGAAAAAGTGAGAAACGCGAAGGCTTGCTTGAACTTGTAGTTCTGTTGTCCGACTCTACAATTCAGACCTTACAATCTCATTTTGTAAATATTTTTTTGCCCTTTCTGCGGGCAAGATAAAAAGCCGTATATGACGAAAGGAAAAATGAAGAGGCAACTAGATGTGTCAACTCGAGTGTGATACGACAGTCGTAAAATTATGAAATTTCAATATCTAAACTTCCTTTGTTCACAATAAACACATAGCTGAGAAGTACAAGCCGTAGATCATGAACAGCAACATACAGGACATGGAGAATGGTAACATATTCGATTGGGACACAAATAGCATGGTTTGGTCTGGAGTGAGATTTACATTGTCATCAGCGATACGTTTGCAAAGTAGATTGGTCTGGTGGGAAAATTCGAGGTTGGGATTTCAGATTGACCCAAATGGGGAGAGGGCTTTGTCGGAGATTTTATGTTGATGATGCTAATCAAGGGAATAAGAGTGGCGAGGAAGTTGTTTTATTTTAGAGTCGATTACCGCATAACAGGAAGATGTAGGTATTGGACCAACGAAAAAGTTGTTGAAGAGAGGAGTTTTTTTTTCGTTTTTTTAGACAATGGAGTCATTGAGGATTGGGATTGTGATGCACTTGGACTATGTGCTGAATTTCTTGGCCCAGCTATTTCAAAGTATATTTGTTCTTAGAGTGAAGTTAGAAAAGAGCGACACCACCACGTTAGAGGAGAGTCTTGAGAATCTGAAAGTAAACTGGATCTTAGTCAACCTTACAATATCATGCAAAAGAAATTATGTACAGAAAGACAACTCGTGTAATCGACGATCCAGATCGTCTACGCGCTTTACTACCAAATTAAAGACAATGGTACTTAAAATTACAGAGTGATCAATTTACAGGCTTGGTACGGAAATGGATGAACTACGTGCCCTGAGATATCTAGAGTAATCACTTTTTATTACAAGGAATCAGGATAGTAGTGCTCCCATCACGGATTTCTTCATCATTTTGCAGAGCTTCAGAGTCTTTTCACTGCTTCATTTTCCGTCTCCGTTTTATTGCCCTTCTGGGCTCAGAGCTTCGACAGGGCGAGTTGACTAGCCTCTATCTAGATTGAGATATAGTTTCCGGTGCTAATGCACTATCTGCTATCTACATAAACTAGAGGTAACGTGATAATAACAACTACTTTGCAAGTGACAACGTGATGCCGTGCATATGTACGAAGGAGATCAGGCTGAAGGATCATTCACACCACCGAGCGTCTTCATTTTTGAAAGTTCTTCAGCTCAGTCTAGAACCATACGGCAAAATTGCCTTGCAAGAGACGTCCATATCCTCCTGATTCTAAGTATCGTTAGCTGGCCGAAAAAGTAGACCGCCAAGGGGCTATCATAGCCAGTGACTTGTGTACATATAAACCAATATACCGCCACCAGCCTCTCATCAGCTACCATCACAACTTTCTTCTCAAACGAAAAAGGCTTGACCACCCTCATCATCTCCCACCGCTACAGAATCATGAATTTCAATTTTTTAGCCACCATCTTTGTCTTCGCTGGCATTACCTCTGTGCGTACCTCAACGACTTAACCTTTTCCTCCTCCATAGTAGATGAACTCCAAGCTAATCATTCCGAATAGGCCAACACAACCTGCCAATGCAACAGCATCGATCCATCCAAATACAGCATTGAAGGCGGAACAAGAGTTACTTGCCACGGCACAATCACTGTCAACCATCAAAAGCTTGCCGGTCGCATGATCCCCGGAGACCGCTGTCTACCGAACACAATCAGCCTGAAAATACCCTTGGATAAGATCCAGAAGCAGTATTCTTAGGACTGCGCCAGGATCAATATTGCGGATGTGACTCCATGGCCAAATGCCACATGTCAGGTCGCTCAAGATTGATTGCACGGGTGAGATCTTGTATAATGTTGTTGTTGAGTTGTTGGTATTTTCGTAGCTGAGCTTATCTCGTTAGTTGGACGCTGTGCTGGAGCCGTATGACAGATCACTTGATGGGTAATACGTAGCAATATCATGCGTGCCATCTGATGAGATATGGCTCAATGTTTAGCGACAATCGAACGCTAGAATTCACTGTTTCAATAAAGCAGTGCTTTATTACACTACTACGCAGTAATACAGCAGACCAAAGCTAATCCTGTACCAATATCTGAATACAATAATCACCTGAGTATGCAAAGTATTCCTAGAAGAAAGAGAAAAGCACTCTTGTTTGAACCTTTGTATGCTAAGATTGGCTCTTTTTATAGAAAAAATTCAAAAGACTTGTGCCTCCACAATCATGTCTAGATTCTTCCTGTGGGTTTAATATGCTATGCTGTATCAGTTGTACGTGTTCCCTTACCCCAAAGCCTACCACATAAAGCTAGATGAGGGACAGGACGCATGACGGGCATGATAAGTAGACCCTGCATATCGGCAGGCCTTCATAACTCAAACGACACAATACCTTCCAATACCCGACAATTTTCCAACTCCGACCTCTCCTGTGGTTATTGTACTGCTTCTTTTTCTTATACATTCACCTTCAACATTCCTTACGAGCTTAGCCATCTATTGTCCTCATAAGCACCCTACCCTTGCCACTTACATTACATAGCACTTCTTTTAAGACCTGTATACTTTGTCCGTTGAAAGCCATACGTTCAAGCCGGTTGCTCAAGGCTCACCACCCTCCATGTCATATTTTCGGTGCACACGTCGGTCCGAGCACTGCAATGGAGTAAGAAACTCTCTTTCCCAGACTACACCGTTGCCTCCCCTGTTGCACCTTGTATGTTCTCACGAAGCTCAAATCAGCGGAGCACACATGGACATTGTTTCTTGAGAATCTCAGGGTCGGTGATGCGGGTGTTTGTCATGTAGAACGTGTGTAGCGCATTGAGCACCACACCAGTGACACGCTGACTGGTCGTTACATTACCGCTAATCACTGCCGTTGTTAGCGGTTGGGCTTATTATACTAGGCTCCAGGATTGTAACATCAACTGGACTCAGACAGCCCTGGCTCAGAAGGATGTCTGACTTGATCATACATCGCAAGGCATACATGATCGCCAAGTGTGTAATGGCCTCAGGCGCATTGGTGTTACCATACCGCTAAAGTCGAAAACGGCCGAATCATTCCTTGTCAATTGTGGTCGTGAGATTGATAGGCATACCGTCGTCCATATGATCCAAAGTCTCCAGTGGGCGGCCGCCATAACAGCGGTACATATCCTTCCGAAGGTTTCGAACTGCCAACTTGCCCGTTCACTGAACCTCCGACATATACATCTGCACGTATTTAAGTCCGTAATTCTTAATCAGATTATGAACCAGCACGATACACTAGGTATTAGCGGCAATCTGAGCTTTTAAATCCGAAATGTTGTCACTCGAATTTCGGCTGCCTGAGCTGCCTGAGCACTTAGACGGTATGTCTAGGACGTGCACCTCCGCATGAAGGATTGACCACTGTGGTCTGAGTCTCGTCCATGATAATGGCAGGACTGCACAGCCCTCACATTGGAGCCGAGATCTTTGAGCTTGTAGACTGGAGCGCTTCTGCATCCAGTTCCCGAGTCGAAGAAGACCTGTGTCTGCTTTGTGGATGCACTGGCTTCCCTCAGCTTTGCATCCTTGAACTGCTGCAAAGGACTCTTCTCGGCTATTCTGCTGGCGGAAGTAATGGTTCCAATGCGAACATCGTCGATGTAGACCGGGCGCTCAAAGGGTGAAGTTGAATGCTCGGCGGTGTCTTTGGACAAAGGCGCACAAGAAGCCGTTGTCCTAAGGCTTGAGAATCATAACTCGCACCCGAACCCTCGAATCTTATGTTTGCGAAAACCTCGTATATTAGTTGCTCCTCGGTGAAGCCTTGGCTCTGCAGCTCCTTAGTACTGCGGTCAATGAGGCCTTTTAGCTTGCCATTGATCAAAGACGCCCTGCGCTCCGAGAACCTGCTTCTCATAATTAACGCAATGGCCATAAAAGCATAAAGTCATAGCTTCCGAGATGATCTAGGTTTGCTCCGTTGCGATCGTCGCTTCTGTAGCTTCACTTTGCTATTTCTTTGCTTTTGAGAACCAATCTTCGTCTTTTACAGCAGTAGCTTCACAAGCCACAAGTCTTTCGGGGCTAAAAAGAAAAGGTTTTGGACATCATTGGTTGGTGTATGCTTTGGGTGGGCGTTTTTTTGTTGACTTGTGTGTGTGTCCTGGGTAAGTTGTTTTTGTTGAGATGCTTCTTCTAGGCGTATGTCGTCAATATTAGGTTTTTTTGGGATATTGCTTGTTTAGGCTGGAGCCTCGAGGTGGCTAGCCTGTTTATGGGGAGGTGATCTTTGGAGTCTGCAGTTGATGGAACTGCACGTTACTTCCTATGGGATATCGACTTTTGCGCACGTTAGTTTCAGCTTTCAATGTGACCATGAGCAAGCTGTACAGCTGTTCAGAGTGCCACAATGGGAGGAAGAAATGGAAATAGAGTCGTCATCATTGGAGCGCTCGGAAAGACCCATTATGTACCCCGATCTACGAATTATTAACGGGCGTCTAATTTGTGGACATTGGATTGGCGGCGATCCCCAAACTCACATACACATCCATGCTCACGATCGATGGACTATGTAATATGCGTAAACCTGCAAGGGTGGAGAATGAGGTTTAAGAATCCTTTTTAAAAACAATGAGACGTTAGTGGAGATTATGTCTATCCTGATCTTGTGAATTTGGGGAGATTAAAAGAGAATTCGTCTGCTCTGCTCGTTGTCCCATCCCTTCCATTCACCGCCCTAGCCTGCCAAAATGGCGATAGCACCAGATGCTCTCTGGCCACTCGTTTGCATCACGGGCTTTCTAGCCCCCATAGCCCTCGTTTTATACTTTTGCCTTCGAGTCTACTGCGTCGTCTACACACACCTCCAAGGCAACCGACAGCTAGTTCTCGCATGGTGTTTTCTCATCGTCGAATTCTTTCAATATATACCTTCCATATTTCTCTACTTTAATCGAATGCTGGTTCCCCGACGTCCACGTCGACCCAAACTTTTCCTCGAAGGCGAAGATGTACCTGTCGTCTCGGTCCTGATCACTGCGTGTGGAGAAGAACACGACACCATTCTCAACGTTGTACGATCTGCATGCGAGACAAATTGGCCGGCAGACCGTTTGAATGTGATTCTATGTGACGATGGCCGGAGCAATGATTTGCAGAAGAAGATACTGCACTTGCAGCGGGAATATCCCTTTGCACACTACGTCAGCCGACCGCCTCCAGAGATCCCAGACTACGTGAGTTTTCAAACAATCCCTTGAGATTTACCCCACTAACGAAGACATCTCAGAAAGCAGGTAATCTTAATAACGGCCTCCTCTACAGCACCAAACTCAACGACCCACCCTCGCCCTTCGTCGCAGGCCTAGACGTTGACATGATCGTGCAACCCAACTGGCTCCGCCAGCTAATGCCGCACCTCCTCTCCGACCCCAAGATGAGCATGGCATGTCCACCGCAAAACTTTTGGAACATACCCAGGAATGATCAGGTGCGCCAGGATCTCGACTACTTCTACTCTGTAACGGAGACCGTGCACGACGGACTGGGAGCAGCCGATTGCGTAGGGTCCGGGTACCTGGTCAGACGAGATGCGTTGATGGATATTGGCGGGTTTCCTGCGTTTTCGATTAGCGAGGATACGGCGTGTAGTTCGTTGTTGCTGGGGAAGGGTTGGCAGGTTGCGTATGTGGATGAGTATATGCAGTGTGGGGAGATGCCGGAGACGTTGCGGGGGCATATTAAGCAGCGGACGAGATGGGTGAGTGGTTGGCACGCGAGTATCTTGAGTGTCGATTTGCTGACGATCCTTTGTAATAGACGATTGGCAATGTTCAGACTGCGTTCAAGGTAGGCACGGTTTACAATATGTCGAATATGCATGACGGTAGAAGAAAAGCTAATTGTCAACAGTTGAATTTCCGCCTCTGGGGCCCAAAAATCCCACTTTGTACTGCTCGCCAACGCCTCGCTGGCTTCGTCTTCGGCGCCAGCTCTCTTACCAACTGCACCTTGACCTGGATCGGCTTCGTCGGAAACCTTGTCGCTCTGCTCGCCGGCTACCCCTTTGTTGTGTACCATGAACGCTGGCAGCTAGTTTGGCTACTGCGCCTCGTCGGCTTATGGGTCTTTTCCGACACTGGGCACAAAGCCAGTCTGGCGCTCTTTGTCGGTTACAGAGATGCTATGCGCTGGGATCAAGCGGATATCTGGCTTGTGCCATATTACGCGCTCTCGCTGGTTCGTGGATTCGTTCTACCGGATAGATTTGGTGGGACAACGCCTGGTTTCATGCCAAGTGGGAGTTTGTCTGCCTCGATCAAAGAGCGGCGACCCAATCTTTCGGGCTTCATAGGACGTTTCCGCGCACTGTTTCTGCAACAAATGGTATGGATACATGCCTGTTACATCTTGGCCTGCTTGACCGGTCTCTCACTTAACTTTGTCCGCTGTTTCGATCCATCTGCCGGGATTGGTACTGCTTATTTAGAACAGCGTTTACTATCAAGGAGTGATCGATGGATATTCCTGCTTACGAGAATTGGTTGGCCTCCAGTATGGTGGTTGGGTCAGTTTATCAGTTGCTGGATTCCTGTGAGCTATATCTTATGGCCACCAGTACAAGTCACTGCAGACGAGGCGTTGCAGATGGATGAGAAGACGCGGGTGCGATACCCAAAAGAGGAGTATCTGAATCCTAGGAGAAGCAGGTTTGGGCGACCCAGTGATCATATGACGTTGATCATGTTTTTGTATACAGTTGTTACTTTTGCTGCGTCTTTTTACGTATAGGCTTCTCTTGTGTTCGTAGCTGAGCATGTCGAAAACGAATCTTCGGCTGCCAGGAAATAACTGACACATTTCGACAGATGATTTCGACTTATCCGGATCTACCAAGATGTGCAAATCACAAACTCAAGAAACTCAATTTCGAGAACGCTGACTGGTATGATTGATGGCTGAAAGTGGCTGCAAACCGAATCATCTTATTACCATTACAGTGGAGAGAAGGCGATCAGATTACTAAGATAAATCCGCAATCAAGATTACTCAAAGCAAAACCTCATCTTTGCCCCATGTGACCTGGGTATCCGACTCTGATCTTGTAATCATCTTGTGGCCGGTGATGGCTACATTCTTCCACTTCAAAGAGGCGCAATTAATGGTGCCTTTAAACTTTCGACAGTCATTTCCAGAAAAGACAAGATATCCCAGATCTGATTCAAAAGAACCGTTCTCCTTTGAAGTTGAGTGGGATACACCATGTGGAATGCCGCTCCAGCGGAACCAAAACTTGGGCGAGCGGAAGCTATTCTTCTCGAATGTGTCGAAGCGCGTTTTCGCTGGCGACTCTGGTTCAGTGTTACTGCTGGTATCGCCTTGCCCTTGTTGATCATCTTCCTCAGGCGCATTGTCGCCTGATTCGAGATCCGCAATAGTTCGTCGTAGACTGTCTCGACTACCGGCTAAAATGACGGATGACCGCAGCACACCTGGAAGGAGGAGTTCGCCCACAACGCCCTCACCGGATTCGGTCAGCCGGTACAGCTCTAAGGAAGCTTCTTGGTCCGACTGCGCGTCGCCATTTGTAGTCAAGGCCTTTTGCCAGGCTGGGCATTTGACGGAGTAACTTGCGAACGTCTTGCGGACGTCAAAGGCACTGGTGTGTTTGGATCTGCCACTGCTTCCTCTGCGGTTGTGCATGTGGCGTGAAGAAAACGCCGCATCTTGCCAGTCATCATTCATGGCGAAGATGGCTGTCGGGTGTGGCTGGGAGTCTTTGGTGAATGTGGGTGGTAATCGACTCGAAGTCAGTTGCGTGTGTAATTACAGGAGAGCGATCAACATCATAGCCTGGCAGCCATGTAGCCGTGAAGGGTAGAACGAAGGTATTGCTCGGGGGTATTCGAAGTGTTTCAACAAAGGAAACGAGCACCGCGGGTGGAGTTAGAGGAAGAGAAGCAATAAGTCGCGTGCGGGGGTGTGTCGTCATGCGGACTCCGCATTTCCAACTGGCCTGGTTCTGCTGTCCTCGATGAGATTGGCTTTGCAGTGTGCAGATGGCGGTCTCGCGCTCTTTCGATTCGTGAGCATCGATCCATGCTTTTCTTTTTTCCCTGCTTTTTGGACTTGTTTTGATTGTTTATGCGGCGCGCCTCTGCTCCTGTTTGAGCGCATACATGGGTCCGTGTTCAACGACCAGGTCTTTTACTTCGATTCTGAACGTAGCGTGATATGCCTGAATTCCATATGAGACTTGTAGGAATACAGGACACACATTGTGTCGACCAAGGACGTGGTGTTTGGATGGAAGTGGGGCAGCACGTGAGCAGGCGTTGCTAGCATGTGGGATTGTGGCAGCCGCGCGCAAACTGGTGAACCGCCGTCACTCGAACAATGCCGCCCAAAGGCTCCAAGAAGTCTGCACCTGCACCACCACACAAGACGCTGGTCGTAGACAATGGCGCATACACCATCAAAGCCGGCCTAGTCTCGACAGGGACGGACCCTACATACGACGACTGCAGCGTCATAGCCAACTGCATTGCGCGCAGCACGCGTGACAAGCGCACCTATGTCGGCGCCGAACTCGACTCGTGCAAAGATTTTGGCGAGCTGGCCTTCCGGCGACCGGTAGAAAAGGGCTTCATTGTCAACTGGGAGGCCGAGAAGGCCATCTGGGAGCATGAGTTCATGAGCGAGACGGCGGGTGAGGGGTTAAGGGTGGGTATGCACACCTGCAGCGACTATGAGATGGTGTTGCTGATGGCGTATAGTGTGACCCCAAAGAGACAAACCTGCTCTTGACCGAGAAACCAAACTGTCCGAAAGAACTGCAGAAGAACTGCGACGAAATTGTCTTTGAGCAGTTCGAGTTTGCCGCGTATTACAGATGTGTGGGCGCGACACTCAACGCCTACAATAGCCCCACCGCCTCGCCGCTACCATCGCTACCGCAAGAATGCCTCCTGGTCATTGATACCTCCTACTCGGACACAACCATATTGCCTATCTATAATGGCAAACTCATACAGTCAGCTGTCAGGCGGCTCACCGTCGGCGGGAAGTTGCTCACCAACTACCTGAAGGAGCTATCTTCCCTCCGTCACTATAACATGATGGAGGAAACATACCTGCTGAACGAGATCAAGGAAGCTGTATCGTACGTGGTGCCATCATCACAGCAATTCGCTACAGATCTCGAGCGGACATGGAAAGGACGACTGGGAGCCAAACGAGAGCTGGATTCGAGCATCGTCGTCGACTACGTGCTGCCCGACTATGAGAACGCGATACATGGGCATGCACGCCCTCACGACCCGGCAAAGTCGCGCATGCGCCGTGGATTGCAACCTCTGCAGGGACCGAGAGAGGACTTGCTGCCTTTGGGCAACGAGCGCTTTACCGTGCCAGAACTATTGTTCAACCCCTCGGATATCGGCATTCAGGAAGTCGGCCTCCCCGGCGCAGTCATGGAATCGCTGAGTGCATTGCCAGAGGCTCTGAAAATTGGGTTACTAGCGAATATAGTTGTTGTTGGTGGAAACTCGCTCATTGCTGGCTTCATGGAGCGGTTGGAGACGGAGCTGAGGGCTTTGGTGCCCGCAGAGTATATGTTGAATGCAGCCAGGGCAGAGGATCCTATCAAACATACATGGCTGGGAGGAGCACGATATGCTAACCAGCCGGATCTGATGAAGGAGGTCCTTGTGACAAAGGCAGAGTATGACGAGAGGGGGTCGACATGGCTACTGAAGAAGTTTACCTAGATGATACCCTGCAGTACGATTTTCTTGAAAAGTGTCGTATCTGTTATTCTTAAAAAAATTCACCAATGCAAGCACAGCAAGATGTCTTAGAGAAAAGCAGCATCAATGATGCATAAATACATGGTGCAAGAGTTCGGGGCTGCGGCGGTTGTGATTGGCCAGATTTCGGCGTCTTGGCGGGCTGCTGATTGAATGTCGAAGGGATTTCTAGCATCAATTGCATCCTCGACATCCCGCCTCAATGCGCCGAATACCGCGCCCCTCGCGGGCAACTGACCCTTCACATTCGCTCTCTGCGTCTATATGCCAGAGAGTGTCGCCTCTGCCCTATCGTGGCGCTGCCTCACCCTGCGCACACATTCGAGCCGCCGCCGCATTTTCCACCACCTCGCCCAACCGCTTCCTCCTTCCCGGAAAACAAGACAAGAAGAAACACCAGCAGTTTGTGCGGCGATGGCAGAAGCGGCTTCTTGGTGATTCGGAGCCAATTGGTGCACATGTTGACCCATACGACCCGACATCGCCTGTTCGCATAGCGCCAGAGGAACAGGGCGAATATGTGGAGGTGCTCGACGACGAGGGGCCCAACTTCCCCCACTATAAGCCCTCGGAGAACATCAGTGGTCTCCAGCGTGTGGGTGGTGAAGAGTGGCTTAAGCAAAAGGTGGAGAAGGACATGGCCGTGGAATTCGAAAAGCTTACACTGCGCACCTATACCCCGCTCACATTAGAGATGGCAGACGAGATTGAAGAGCTCACTGGCACTCCATACACCCTCAAGGACGAGAATCTGATGATGGCACAAACTGTACACGAGAAGACGAAACGCCCATATACAACCTACAACTTTGGTCTCCATACAAAGGTTACCCGTCCCAGCGATCTGCGCAACCGCTTCACCCAGGCTATCGCCGAAATCTACGCCATGAAGCAGGCTGGTCTTGAAATGGACTTTTCCAAGTTTGCCAACCGCGGAATCTACGACGCGCCACGCTGGGTCAAAGATATCAAGTTGGTCAAGACGGATGGCGGCGACCTTGCCCTAGCTTTTCCTCAACACAAGAATCTAGAGCAGCTTTTAGAGAGCATGCAAAGCGCCCCAACTTGGGAGCCTGCACTTGAGGAATCAGACGAACTTCTTGTCGAGGAAGCTGAAGACATTGTCGCAACAGAAGAGCAACCTCCGATCATGGACCCTGACACACCGACACACAAGCGGGCAGCTGTGGTAAAGATGGATGACGAGAAGAAGCCGTTCGACTTCATGTCGAATCGTCCTGTGCCTCGTAGCAAGCCAGTTGAGAAACCAGTTGTCGAGGAAATCACACCTAAGGCAACTTCCACTTCGCTTCCGCCAGAGCCTCCCACTCAAAAGTCCGAGACTCAATCTGCCAAGGAGTCACGGAGTCGGACACAGCACTCAATTCTGGAAGGTAAAGCGCAGCGTCTGGCCGAGGACTTTGCGGCTTTGAGGAGAGCTGTACAGCAGGCTCGAACAAGCGGATCTGCCGCCAAGCCTGAGGAAACAAAGTGGCGACAGATCCAAGTGGCTGATGTCGACCTCAAGTTTGCTGTAAGTGCTCTTCCTGATCACAGCATAACAAAATATACTAACTTGGTATGATCAGCTTTACAAACGTCTCTACCAACTTACAGGTTATCGCATTTCCGACCCTGATCTGACGTCCGCAAACACTCTTGGAGACCTATACAATAGCCTTTGCCTAGCTGCTAAGCCCCAGCCCACGAGCCTCTTCTCCGCTATCCACGTTGAAGGCCAGAAGGCGCGAGAAAAGGCCAAGCGAGAAGCTGAATCTGCTGCCGAGAAGAAGCGAAAGGCTGACCTTGGTGATTTGATCAATTTGGGCAACGTCGAACTTCGCCGAGTCAAGGCAACCAAGCCAGAAAAGCGAAGCAAGATTGGTCTAGACAAGGTGGTCCACTATGCGCTGTGGGAACGTGGCCTAGGCACTGGTATGCCGTTGAGATCAGTCAAGAAGGGAAAGAGGAAGGCTCGTGCCGTGGTTGGATTATCACGCAAGCGAGCGGAATTTTCAAAACCGTTGAGCAGCAAGGGCGCGGACTTCTTAGCGAAGAAGACGAGGATGTGGAGAGAAGGGCGGGAAGAAATGGCCCAATCCTCGGCCGTATAAGATTTCTAGTGCATGGATATTGTGTCTATGCTAGGACAGGGAAAATGAAGATGTACTATACTATCAAATGTACTTATGAAGGCACAGGGAACATTGTTGTTTTTCGAATGGAATGGTTCCTTGCCACTTTGCGTACTGCTATGCTCATATCTGGTGAAGAGAGTTTGCGGGAATCACCTGGCCACGACAATTCACGGGTGCTTGCACTCGGGAGACACCAATGCGGTTCGATCGACAGTAGATGATCGTTGACGAGTATCCAATCGGGTTAGTGGTCCGTCCAGCACGTCCATGAAGGCCGTAGTTAAGCTTCGACCCTGCCGCCTTGGCACCAATAAGGTTCAGCGGACGTTGGTCAACACGACACCTGTCGAGCTTACTGATTAGTAGTGTTTACTTTAGCTGCAGAAGCATCTAGTAAGCGGCAGTAAAGTAAAGCGGCAGCAGGTACATTGCCACTTTCTATTCGTCCAAACGTGGTCATGGAGCTCGTTCAGATAACTATCTACTATTATCTTATCTTACTGATACCCTTAGTGTGTTTTTTCTAGCACTAGCCACCACTCAATACCCTGTAGCCCATCTCAGGCTATCCAAGTCGAACATGGGTGTACTCGTTGAGTACATAAGTGTTTAATATGTGGCGGTGCCAAAAAATGTGTAATAATTGTCTCCTAATGAAGCGAGATAGATCTGCTAGCCAATCATAGCTTATCATCTTGGTAACATGTGGCTTTTTTTTGAGGCAAAATAGAGATTATTTGCTGATTCCGAACCCCGGCCGCACAAAAACGGGATAGCCCTCGTATATCAAACACTTACGTGCTCAACGAGTAGTCGTCCCTTCTGTTCTCCGCATCGGCGCTGCAACGGTCTTTTATCTCTATAATATACCCATGAATGCGCCGACGCGGAGGCGATACCCGAGGATGCAATAACTCATCCCGTGTGCCCATCCACCCAACGGCACATTGCATCCCTTTTTCCCCTTCCTTTTGCGCCTTGAGATTTCCACGTTGATTTTAACCCGCAATGGATGCGGAAAAGGCGTATGACAAGACCAGCGTGTCGAGTGACAATGGCACCGACATTGCCCCTCACAAGTCAGACACGGGCATCCTGGCCCGATTGCTTGCGCTTGAAGCGCGACTGGATGCTAAACTTGGCATCGAGGCCGAAGCAATCACCAGGAAAAGAGCTGAAGACAAACGCCATGTGCCGTGGCATCAGCAGCTCAACATGATATTCATATGGGCTTCGGGCTCAATGAATACGTCGTCTTTTGCAATTGGGTTCTTGGGCCATGAACTTGGGTTGAGTAAGCATTCAAATTAACTCCCCAAAGACTGAAAGGAGGGAAAAAGTTAAGCTAACTCGGCATGTGTTTTTTTTTGTTTGCGTGAATAGCACTCCGACAGTCTGTTGTTATCACTATTTTCGCAAACCTTCTTGGTGGAGCGGCAACAGGATTCACAGCAACGCTTGGAGCGCCGACTGGTCTCCGTCAAATCTCCATCTCTCGGTACTCGTTTGGTTGGTGGCCGACCAAAATCATCGCTTTTCTCAACACAATCCAGCAGATTGGATGGGCAGCAGTAGCATGTATTGCAGGCGGTCTGGCGCTCCAGGCCGTGGCAGACGGCCACCTATCGCTCGTGGTAGGCATTGTCATAATCGTCTGCGTATCAACCGTCTTTTCGTTTATAGGATTGCGCGCCGTCCTCTTCTACGAGCGGTACGCATTTTTCGTCTTCTTCGTCATCTTCATCATCATCTTTGCGGAAACGGGAAAGTACACGGATAACAGCACCACGACGACACTCGAAGGCGCAAACCTCGCCAGCAGCGTACTCACCTTTCTCGCAATCGTGTATGGAAGTTCGGCGTCCTGGCAGATCATCGCATCAGACTACTACGTGCACTACCCTGTCGACGTGAACCGCTGGAAAGTCTTCGTCCTGACTACCCTCGGCGTCACCATCCCAACCTCCATCAGCATGTGCGCCGGCATCGTTGTCTCGTTTGGGCTAAACAACCGCCCAGACTGGAACACGGTCTACAACACCCAAGGCCTCGGCTTCCTCGTGCAAACCGTGCTGCACCCCCACGGCTTCGCAAAGTTCATTCTCACTTTACTCGTCCTCTCCGGCATAAACACAAACGTCATTTCCATTTACAGCGCCGCCATTTCGTGCCAGCAGTTTGCGCGGCCCCTCGCGCGCATCCCACGCATCCTTTGGGTTTTTCTCTCCTTCGCCGCCATTCTCGGTCTTGCCATTGGCGGCCGCGAAAAACTAAGCACTTATCTGCAGAATTTCCTAAGTCTCCTCGGTTACTGGTGTACCCAGTACTTTGTCATTGTATGCAGCGAGCACGTCATCTTTCGCAAAATGAACTTTGCCAATTATGACCTCGAGGCGTGGAATGATCCTTCGCGCTTGCCCCTGGGACTCGCGGCTGGCGCGGCCTTTGGCCTGGGGATTGTGGCCTGGGTTATGGGTATGGTGCAGACGTGGTTCGTAGGGCCGCTTGCAAAGCAGATTGGGAGCGGGGGTGATGTAGGGAATGAGTTTACGTTTGTTGTTACTGTTTTGGTTTACATCCCTGCGAGGGTGCTTGAGAGGAGGATTATTGGCAGGTAGAAAGTGTGGAGGATATCCCCCCTCCACCTTGCTGGGGGGGGGGGGGGGGGGTGCGAAATATGGAAGGTAGACACATGAGGTGGTGGAAGTTACGGCAAGAAGAGAGCTATATGTTGTCTAGATTGAATTGGAATCTTGATTATCACGAGTATATATGCCTTTAGTATGGCATGTGAAGCAAAAGTTCCATGATGATTTCTCCTCATGCATTGAAAGATTATCGGAAACAAAATAAAAAACAAACATGTCTTAACAGCACGAAGGACAGGTATAACTCCGGAACGAGTCGGGGTAACGCCAATGTTGGGAAGAAGGAAAATTCTACAAGGGGAGTTAGTGTAGGAAATGTGATTTCCATGTTTTAACTGTGTCACCTAGGAATCAATATGCTCTCTCATTGATTTGGTGCGATGGTCATACTTTTTTTTTATCTGCAGGAGCAACAAAAGAAAAAAAAAACAAGAAGACTCATCACAAAAGTACACAATTCAAGAAAAGGTTCGTATATATATGTATGTAAACTGGTGGTAGGCTAGGAAACTAGCGCGATGAACCATTTATGTACAGATAGCAAAGCCAATCAAGTTCCACAACCAATAACTGTTTTGTTTGTTGGTGTTTCAGATGGTACATTATCATTAAAAAGAGCGTGACTCATGTAGTTCATGGGAGATCAACAAGTTTGATAGTAGAGACCTCGATGTTGGCCATGTTCTCGCTGTATGCGACAACCATTTGGTCACCTTGGAACACAGCCGAGGGCCAGTAGAATCCGGGCACGTCGGAGCCATAAATAGGGCGAGTGCCAACAGGAACCTTTTCCTTGGAGTCGCTGCGAAGGATGCCAATGTTGCGGAATGCGAGGTCGTCACCGCGAGAAGTGGCGACGGTCAGAATTTCCTGGGACGAATCGCTGTTCATGCCGCTGTTTGAGATGTACACGCGGGTCTGGGTAGCGCTTTCACTGCTACCAAACCAGGCCTTGTATGAGCTGTAGATGTTGGTCTGTTCAATCTTGGAGCCGTCTTCGGTTGCGGGGAACCAATTGTTGCCGGTGATATCGCTGGTGAATTCAACAAAGGCATTGCCAGTCCTATTCCTCACCGAGACATCGGACCAGAATCGCATATAACGTCCTGTACCCGAGCCGGCAAGGTAGACTGCATTGGTGGGATAGCTGACGTTGTGTTTACCATCAGCAGCGATAAGGGGTGCGTTGAAGAGAGATGTTGCTTGAGCTGGCACGGCTTGTGGGTTCTTCAATGCAGCGAGGATCTTCTCCTTGTCGTCGCACACCTTCATATGGTACTTTGTGCCGTAGACCGTCTCGGCCCATTCATGACTGCCGGTATACTCATTCGTCTCGATCCAGCATGGGTCGCCCGAGAACGTGGTACCAGACAAAGGATCGCGGCTCAGCTTACGGGCGATGCGACCGGCTGATTCAGTGTGTCCAGGACAGACGTTGTCGCTGGACTGTGCAACGGCATAGTATGTCGCATCAGACTCGTCTCCGCCGATGTAGACAATGGACAAGGCCTGCAAAGCTCTTTGGGGAATGCCACGCTTGCAGTAGTACTCCGAGGTCTGGATGGTTGTCTGGTTTGGCAGAAGAGCCGCGGGAAAGGCAATCTCTGGTTTGCTCCATTTGCCATCTGTGGAGTAAGAGATTCGCACATCTTGGCCCATGCCATCGACATCCTCTGGGGCGCCAGAGAAGAGCAAGAAAAGGGTACCACCCATGTTGTAAAGGAATGGATAGTAGGAGAATTTGCGATTGTCATCTGCCGCCTTGTCGATTGGAGTAATGACGGAGTTGATTTGCGTCCACTTAATCTGCCCAGGTTGCTTTGGATCACGTTCGGCAGGAACTTGCCAGAGGTTGTCCTCGTTGCTCTGTCGCTTGATCACTCGGCTTGGTGCAGCCAATGCGCTGGCAGCCAAGGTAGAGAGGAGAATAATCTTGTTAGGGATCATCTTGATAGTATTCTCAATTAAGGGGTACTAGAAAGGAGGTTGATGGTGAGCGGTGAATATGGAGAACCAGGACAAGCCATTATATAGCACCGCAAGCATCGAATCTCACGTGTTCCGGCAGGATCCCAGCATTGCTAGTAAGTATATCGCCGCAAACCTTGAGTGGAGTGAGGAGGCCATGACGCGCAGGTCCGGGATAGGGAGAAGCGGAGCTAGTGTGGCGGTGACAAACTCTCCCGCGCAACCGAAAACTGCACTATTATTAGACAAAATTATTCCATTGGCTCCGCCGTCTACTCAAGCCGATCACCCGGCCAAGGCACTCGTCACGATACGAGGTTGTTAAGTGTTATTGACGAGGATCTTGCTCAAGTCAATGCATTGCTACATATCCCAAGGCTCGTTATCCCTGCATTCAACCCCAGCAGACAACCACCTTGGCAATTGCACTAGCGGCTAGTGCCAGAGACATCGCCATGGCAAATATGCATATTTCAGTGCTGTCTATTATCTTCCCATCTCCATGAACCGTTGACTAATTCCTCATGTCATGGATCCACCGCCGTAACTTTCTGGGTCTTACTTACATGAGACACGCCGACAGTAAAGTTTTCATCTACTAATCTAGGACCCGTCCGAGGTCCAAGTTTGGCGCTGCCGACCGGGAGCAACGCCATTTCCGACAGTCAAATGCCAATGTTAGTGGCCGCTTCGACGAAACTATCGCCACTCCGATGGAACCGTGCCCTGCGCGGGGTATTACGATGGGGAAGGTCGTGGCATGCATGCTACTACTACTACAAGCAGATTCAACACACCACCAGACAAGGGATGTGCTACGTCATACTTCCTATTCTGGAAAGCCAATAAAATAATACTGTCACGATACTGGAAATGAACCAACAGCATTCATGGTAGTCTGACGATCAGCCAAATGTGGGAGTTGAGCACACAGACTTTGGAATCGGACCCAGAAGATTTGCCCTTCCTCCGGGTTGAGATACATTATGTAATATCCTCTCGCTACGGATGATGAGATGATGAGGATGCTCCATAGCAATCTCCTTGATGATGTGAGACGGTGCAAAAACATGTGCGGCAAAGGCGTGGGCCTGTGCAAGTACTTGCCGACCTTCGTCATCGTCTCGCTTGCAAATGGAGCTTCCATTCAAGCACAGCAACCGCCAAACGGATGTAGCTGCCACCGTAATCGCAATGCCTCTTGTTCTGGCTGTGCCCTTCTACCAGGATATCCAATGTAAGGGCAACAAGTCGCAAATCATTACATATGTCGCCATACGTATCTCAAGTAAGCCTCGACACACGAACACTTGTACGATCCTCTACCTTGCATGGCTCATGTTGTTCTCGGTGGTATCTCGGCAGTCCAAGCTCCACATCCCAGCTCGTATGATTGCCACGATGCAAACCTTGTCCATCTGCCCATCCAAGTCCCCATCTTCCATATGCTTCACTTGTATTCCATTCAAAAAAACACTGACATGAGATGTTGCTGAACTCAAAACAAGTCGAATATGAACATGATGCTTTTGCGTCAACCATAGTGTTCTCATGCCCAATTTCTAAGCCCCCTTAAGCTGAAATGGCTCGAGTGGGCAGATAGGATTTGATTTAAATTTGGTATCTCATCTTCTTACAGGTTCCAGCCAAAGTTTTTGTTCATCTCGAAACCTACGCCTTCTCTTTGCCTTTGCCATATGCATCCACCAATGGGGCCTCGGGAATCTCTACTCCCTCAATACCCCATCTCATCCCAGGATAAGAATCACTGTGCACCGAGATATCCAATCTCTTGCCTTGCGCATCCGGTGGCAGTGAAACTTTGATGGAAACCTGTAAAAGAGAGCGCGCGGCACCCCCCATCGGCTGTTTGCCAGCTTCTCCCCGATTGTTTCCACCATTCTTGCCTGGGTCGGGCCAGTTGACTCGCTTGAGCGCAACAATTTCGTCAGTACTTGAGTACGAGATGATGGCAAAGAACCCTTCGGTTTGGGGCTTGGGATAACGCGGTGCATATATTCGCACGCCTCCCTGTTGCATCCTCGCCGAGTTTTGGCGCGTGGCCTTGAACTCAAGAGTAATGGCATTGACATTTCCTAGGTCAAGCTTTAGGACCGGTAGGCGAGATACAGGTTCCGTGAAACGTTTCAGACCACCATGCGAGACGCCAGCAAACTTCCCGGCGCGTTCAAGATCGACTGCAGCAGTAGATGTAACTTCTATCAGCGTCTTTGGTTTGGCTTTTGGATGCTCGAGACGAGCCTTTTCTTTCTCAACATCGACGCCTGGAAAGATGGACAATGGGCCATCGTTAGGCCAACGCGCTGATTTGATGGCTTGTAGAATGGAAATGACGGTCTCGCATGAAGATCGATAGCCAAGTTCGGTAAGAACATCGATCGTTGCTTGAACGATACGGATACTCTGATCCAGCACGCTGTTTTGATCGCCCACATAATCTGAGATAGGCAAGTCAATGCGCGAAAAGTGAGCCTGCAAGAGTAAGAAAGCTTTCACATGCGGGTCCCACATTGGGAGACCAAAGTCGTCAGCAGAAATTGGTAGTGCTTTTGAAAGCTCCATGTTTATGAGATCCTCGTTGTGCCGAACAGGGAGCTCGTCGTATTCGGTAGCATGCGAAATCCAAGCCAAAGCTTCTGCAAAGGTGGCGTCGCGCTTGACGTTCTGCACGAGATAGCGGATCGTTTTATGGCTGAGGTAATAGTAACTCATGATCTTTCCAAGAGGGGTGGGGTCGACTTCGCCCGTTGACTCAACGACGGCACAAGACGACTCGTCTAACTCTCTTAGGGATGTCTCTACCAGCTCAACCATGTAATCGTTGGCCATTGATTGCGCAGCTATTGTGTTATGCTCTTCCGCTGAGATCTCGAGACCGTAGAAAGAAGGGTTCTTATGCAGGCGACGGAAGAAGAAGGTCCATGTCAGATAGTCCAATGCGTCTTGCTTTGTGGTGATAGTCCCGGCGGAGATTTCGGCACCCAGATGGTTGTCCAGGACTTTGTGCAATGATGACTCAACAGGAAAGCCAGTATGTAGGAAGTGCTTGTAGAATTCCTTTTTGGCATCCTGCGTGAAAATACGCGCGATACCGGAGTCGTCAAACTGTGGGCGCCCAGCGCGACCCAACATTTGTAAGACATCGGTCAAGTCCATGTCCTTGTATCCTTCAGTCTTTGCGTCGAAAAATTGAGTACCTTTGACAACAACGAGATGCGCGGGGAGATTGACACCCCAAGCAAGGGTACTGGTAGCAACGAGGATCTGGATCTTGTTGTTTGCAAAGAGCTCTTCCGACAGGGAGCGGTCGGACTCTACAAGACCAGCATGATGCAAACCAATGCCAAAGCTTAATGCCTCGCGTAATGAATCATCGTGAACGCGGTCCAAATTGAGTGCCAAATCTTCTTCTGACATGCGCAGGAAGCGACGTGGGTTATCCTCCATTCCACAGAAGTTTATCAGGTCGCGAGCCGTCAAACGAGTTTGTCTTCGAGACGCTACAAAGACAATGACTGGTTTCTCTGGGGAATGGGCTTTGATAGCGAGGAATGTAGGTCGATTCATGGATTGCATGAGTGGGCAGAACCCACGCTGCTCTGGGAAGCCATCGATGAAGATTTCCAAGGGAACTGGACGGACAGAGTGCCGGAAATTGAAAAGGCCCTCCTTGACACCCAGCCAGTTGCCAAGGTCTGCTGCATTTGCGCATGCAGTTGACATACCAAGCAGGCGAATAGAACCGTCTTTCTTTTGCGAAGCGATGTAGTTCATGCGCGACACAATGATTTCTAGAATCGGGCCACGGTCGCCGCCCAATAAGTGGATTTCATCAATAATGACCAAGCTAACTTGACGAACGTAACCACGGGTCTGCCAGCTACGACTGATACCGTCCCACTTCTCGGGGGTTGTAATGATGATATCAGCATCTCGAATAGTGCGTGTATCTGGCGTGTTGTCACCTGTCAACTCGACAAGCTTCAGGCCCATTGGTCCTGCTAGGCGCTTCCTCCAATCCTGTACTCGCTCTCGAACAAGCGCTTTCATTGGAGCAATGTAAACAACCTTTGAGCCTGGCTTCTCACGGAATGCCCACCACATTGCCAGCTCAGCAGCAACAGTCTTGCCACTGCCAGTAGGCGATCCAAGTAAGACGTTTGCGGACGTATGGTAGAGACAATGAAAGATTTGCGATTGCATAGGATTGAAGTACTGGAAGCGTTGCGCATAGACTTCTTCCAACAAAGGGTTTTTCAACGCCGCTATTGGCAGAGGCTGAAGGTTCAAGAGGTCTGTGTAGACGCTCTCGGTGTCGGGCCGGATCAGATGTTGGAAGGATATGGGGTGCACAGTTTCCGCTCCCAACCAGCGGTCAGACACGGCGCGGACATAGACTTGCGTCGGGAGCGGATCAGAAAGTGGGATCGTGAAGTCTAGTTCATGGTCGTCGTACAACTTCTTCCTTGATAGAATGAAGAACTCATGATGGAAAATCTCCGATGTTTCAGAATTCTCAACCCAGATCCAGAATGATTCCGAAGTGCCATGATGACGATCATTCCACACGAAGTCGGGTGTGAGAAACAGCCGTATTCGAAGTACATCCCTGTTCAACGGGGCAATCTCCGATTCAATGCTTAGCGTGGGGAAATTCTGCATCAATTTTGAGATCACATTTCCCATCTTCTTGTTGTGCACCATGTCTCCAATCTCGGATGGATCCATATCCCTCAGCATTTGTATCGAAGGATTCTTGTGATCCAGAGCTCGCAGAACTGGCTGTGGAAGGTCGTATTGGTGTAGAGGATGTTGAAAAGACCAACACCGGTGCTCAATGGATTGGCAAAGACTTAGAAGCACCAAGCATTGATAACCCCAACGCCTGTTAAGCGCTATCATGAACAATGCACGTGCAATACGCGCGGCATTTTGTGTGATGTAGTTGGTGTCTGATACGAGAGTGAAGTCTTCCAAGCGCGCTCTGGAAATGTGTGCTTGGAGCAGGTAGTTTGTTTTCCCGTGTGATGTTGCGTAGCCGTCTTTCACTTGAGTGATCACGTGGCCGTCTTCTTTCAGTGCCGAGAGTTCCTTCTCCTCGCTCTCCCGTGATTGCACTTGATCGAACTCGCCACTCATACTAACCATGGCGAGGGCGTCGGCATCTGTACTTCGAGGTCGCATCATCGCGTTGAAGATCTCGATACTTGATTGTTGCACATAATATTGACTCGCGATGCGGCCAACATCTTTGGCTCGCAAATCTTCAGTAGTCTCGTTGAAAACGATCATCTGGCTTCTCTGCAAGGTACGCGCTGCGTCTATGATGAGTTTGCGCCTTCTTCCAACCAGCTGTGGATCATCGCGTATCTCTGACCACTCGATTCCGTACATCAGCGGGCTCCTTTTCATGCGGACGAATAGATACGAATATCCAAGCCAAGTAACAGCCTCGGATACCGTCGTGACCGTGCCCAAGGATATCTCAGCATTGAGGTTATCGATAAGTCTACTAGAGAACCTCGACTCAATTGGCTGTTGCTCAGTTACGGCGCGCATGTAATGGTCGAGTCTGTCGTGTGTGGTACAGATGAAACCGATACCACTGTCTTGAAACTGAGGTCGACCAGCACGACCGAAGATCTGCAAAACATCGAGGATACCGAGATCTGTGAACTTACCCTCTTGGGCATTGTACACCTGGGTTCCTTTGATGAGCACTGCCGCAGCAGGCAAGTTGACACCCCAAGCAAGTGTGGCGGTACAGCAGAGAATCTTGAGAACACCTTCTGCGAAAAGACGTTCGATCAAGTTTCTGTCAGAGCGAGGCATACCAGCATGATGAGTACCCATTCCTTTGCCAAGTAACTCCCTCAACTCTCTACCTTTTGATTGTTTCATGTCCCGCACAGCGTTCTCGTATCGCGGATGATCTTGTGGGTCAAAGAGATCAGTGCATTGCTCTTCCATGGCCATGTCATACAATCTCCTGGCTGTCTTTACGGTATCCTTTCTTGAGTGCACAAAAACCATGATTTGATGACCGAGTTTGAGCATTTCAACAACCTTGTCAAATGCAACTTTCTCCAGATTCTCCCGTGATTTGGCAGTGCCGGGCTTGCCCTTGGCGCCGATGAAATGTTGTTCCAATGGTACTGGACGGAATGATGCGTCAAAGTAGAACAATCCAGCCATCTTGTTGACGTGCAGGAATTCGGCCACATCGACGTAGTTGGGCAGCGTAGCCGAGAGGCCAACTATTCGAATGAGTGACTGTGTACTTTCGACTTGTCGTTGAGTGCGTGCTACTAAGCTTTCGAGAACAGCACCGCGCTCATCGTGCAGCATATGAACTTCGTCTATGATGAGGAGTCGGACCTTTTGAACTAACTCGGTGTCACCGGTGCTCTTCCTCGTAACAACGTCCCACTTTTCGGGGGTAGTGACGATGATTTGAGTATCGAGAATCTCAGCTTTGGTGAGGTGCATGTCACCTGTGAGTTCTCGCGCTTTTATACCCAACCATGCGAGGCGCTTCCCAAGCTTTTCAGTCACCTCTGCAGCGAGTGCCTTCATGGGTGCTACATATATAATCTTGAAGTCCTCCGCCATGACGGTGAAGTCAGTGGCCTCTGGCTCGTCGATGGGGTTTGGAACGACGTTCTTCGCCACAGTGTTGAGAATGGTGAGCATGGCTGCATCCGTTTTACCAGCACCAGTGGGCGCGCAGATGAGCATATTTTCGCTAGTCTTGTATGCAACAGGGTATACTAAGCTCTGCATCCGATTGAGGGTCTTGTAGCCTTTGAAGGTGCGTTGGCAAAGACCATCCAGCTCTCGAATCTCGATAAGCTTGCGCCCTGCGCCGATTGTACCCACCGGAACGGCTGGAATCTCATATTCTTCGTATAGATTATTGTCACGATGTACCGAGTCTGGAGGCAGGGCATACTTCTTGCCATAAGCCGATAGCTTGTTCCCGGCATCATGAGCCTTGTATACATGAGGGTACTGAGGTCCGGTACGATCCATGGCTGGTGCCAACGCAGCATTCTTATGTTCCCAATCTGCACGTCGCAATGCTTCCTCTCGCTCGGCACGAGTCTGCAAGCGGCCCATGACACCATTGCCTTGAGAAGCAGCTGGTTCACGCAGCGACCGCAGAAGACTTTGACGGTGAGAAATGAGGTCAGCCACGAGGTCCAGCTCCCCATAACCAACAATGTCTGCGAGCATCATTTGTAATTCTTCATCTGCTTCTAGTTAGCCTCATGGCGGGGTGGAGTCGGTTCGATCCAGGCTGACCATTACTGTCGCTGGATAGAACAGCAGCTATCTGTTCCTTGAGCGCTTCTGCATCCAGGCCAGAACTACTACGAGCCACTTGAGAGCACTTTGCCACTAGCCATTGCTCATCGTAAGTGTTGCTTGCGGCAGGGGCCCGTGCAAATTCGTCCAAATGGTCGCTGCTGTAACCCTCTTCGTATTCATCACTGATGATGTCCCAGATATCCTCGCCACTGGCAGTTCCGGAGATATCGTCGTAATCGTCGAAATCAATATCATGGCCATAGGCAGGCGCCTCTTCAACATCAGCTGGCAGACCCAGCTCGGCAATAGCCTTGCGCATGGCATGAAGCTGTTCGAACCATTGTGCCTGGGCTTCTTCAACAGCGGGTGACATGCTTGCTGCGGCAGAAGTGAAGGTGGTGACCTCTGATTCACGGCTTGGCAAGATTGAAGATGATGGCGTAGGCACTGGTGGAGTGGAGCGGTCGGCCTCGGCCCGACGTGCCCCGCCCCCCATTGCACAGGCGCCATGACATAAGCAGAGCATTACCCTGTCGCCTTGGGCATGAGACGGACGAAGCGCTACACCAGGCGCATCCTAGACATCGCGTTCTCTCGATATACTGTTGCGGGGCACCAGACACTACCTAAGCTTCCACATATACCTCTTTCCTACACCTTTCCCTACACTATCGTCACCCCCAGACAATAAATCGCCACAATGAAGCTCGTTTACATTGGCGTAGGTCCTACCCTTCACCGCTGCCCGCCGTACAACGCCCCCGGGGGTCGCTGACAAGATGCAGGTTTTCAAGAATGACACCAAAGATGCCATCGAGCTGACGGGCGCGGAAAACCTCAAATCGATCAATCGATGGGTACAGAAGGGCGTCAAAGAAGGCGTACGTTAGAATCGCTTTCCATGCCAACTATGCTCTCAGGCACGAGACAGGGCGCATGGGAACGCACATGCTTACGACGAGCGCAGATTGTCTTTGCTTCGGCCGTGGTTGCTAAAAGAACACCCCCACATAAGATGACGGATGTCTTGGAAAATGGTACTATACGGTCGTCTTTCAGGTCGCCCTGTGTTAACACTGCGCACAGGACACAAGTTTCATGCCCTGGCTTCCGCTGACCCCATATGCGCTGTCGTCGTGACCGACGATGAATACCCCAGCAGTGCCGCACATCGCATTGTTCGCAAGGTACTCGACGAGTTCTCCGCTAAATACCCTCGCTCTGCCTATAGCGGCTTCACAGCCGACGCCGCCAAGTTGTCGTATCCCGAGCTCAAAGAATATGTCGAGAAGTACCAGGACCCGGAGACTGTCGACGCCACAATCAAGATCCAGCGGGAGCTTGACGAAACAAAGGTTGTACTACACAAGACTCTTGAGAGCGTCTTGGAGCGTGGAGAGAAGCTAGATGATTTGGTCCAGAAGAGCGAGGGGTTGAGTGCGCAGAGCAAGATGTTTTACACCCAGGTGAGCCTTTAACAGCATCCCGAAACCATGGCCATATTTACTGACGTCTGGACAAGGCCAAGAAACAAAACTCGTGCTGCACGGTCATGTGAAAGTTGCTTAGCTTTGATGAATCTTCCGTTTGTTTGGGCGTTGGTATCTGCATTTCATAGTCAGGATAACGAATTTTGTATACCCATTACCCGTCCAACACACTGGTTCTCACAACTGCCATGCTGCACTAACCTGTCTTGCCTGCTCACCTAATCTCTTTCCTCGGACATGCTGTATCTCATTGTGATCTTATGAGTACGGGGAATTGTATCTGTTAGTACTATCGTTGTTCAACTAGGGTTGTACGTGTACAAGTATATATGTGTATGCTTGCATGAATGAAGGTAGGGGAAAGATGGTTCATTTTCAGAATCTCTCGAGTACTATTACTACTATCCAAAAGCAGGACATGGTTATGTGAATTCATCCATGACCATGCACCAGTACCTGCCCGGCGCAATTGTTACTTCAACTGATACTCTTCTCTCTCTGTCCAAGCTGGACCTGACAATGCTGTAGATCTCACTGCGATATCCACCCTTTTGACATTTGCCTGCCCAGTGATTTCTATGATAGTCCCTTGAGTCCGCCGTGTCTTTCTACAAAAACTCCTCATTGTTGTCCTCCTCAAAGTCACAAGACACCATTTCGGCAATAAGAGAATGGCCGAGACATTCCCATCCGTCCAGGTCGTAGATTGTGACACTGGGCTGCACCATTTCGTACTCCTCGTCCGAGCCCACGTTCAAGATATTCTCTATATCGTCTTCGTTCTGCGGTTGGTTGAACTCTTGTTCGGAGTATGTAGGGTGGCTTGATTCGACTTTGATGAAGGGGTTCGATTTCTCTAGTGGGAAGAATGGAGTGATGAGATTTCCAGTGCAAACAGAGGTATTACCAGGTCGGCAACCGCAGACCCGTAGATTCGCAGATGATGTTTGTGTTTCGTCTGGAGAAATACAAATCCATTCCTCGTCTGTCTCAAGCTCTTGATTGGGAGCTTCGGAAGCGGAATGGAAATCTTTTGGCCAACTTTTAGAGCTCATCCTCATCCAGTAGTCCAAGCAGTATCTGCTAGTTATGGGAGGACACGAGCGAAGACGTCCATTCACCCATGGGTTTCGATTGGCGAATATGGAGTCAACTTGTTGGGCTCGGACTTGGTCAGGGGATCTGCTTGTCGTTGGTTCATTAGGAGTTGACACGACCCCAAGACGCGGAGTGCAGCCGCTGTCATGTCGCATATTCGCACTTCCGGCGGGGCCCAATGAGTTTGGAACATTGCCACCTCTGGATTCGCAGTTTTGCGAGAGACAAGGACATTCGAAACTTGCGGTTGTAGAACAATACCCGTTTGAATAACCCATGGAAGCCGGATCGCTGTGCATAGATGGGTAAGACTCCATTCCAGCCATGCGACAGGAATCCGTTGGATATGCTCTTCGAAGAGGATGGGACACTGGAGAAGGCAGTGGCAATGGGATTGTTGGCCAAGATACCGTCCAGGTGTCCTGCAAGAGCGGGTTGGGTATGGATCGAAAACCTCCAAATGCTCGCAAGCACGATAGGGGAACTAGTCTACGTCGATAAGTCTTCTTAACGTGCTTATCTTCTGTTCCATGCCCAATGGATACGGGAACAGGTAGTGCGTCCATGGGTCTCTGCATTGAGAGTTTGGATAAAAGGTTCAGTTCAGGAGCCTGAGAGGTGTCGGTGGCGAGACGGTGTTTTCTCGAACCCAGTATAGCTAGAGCTCTCTGATGCGAGTCGAGGATGTCTTCAGATGGCATAATGAGGGACAAGGGTTTCTTAAAGGTGTGTCCGCAAGCCGTAGCTGCCAGCTCCTTTTGTCGCGCGAGAAATGCTGGTGCAGATTTGGCAAGACTATTTGAACCTCGGAAGTCTTTTGTTGTTACCAAAGGTTGCGAGAAGGCAGACTTGGACGGCCAACGGACTGTGGTGTCGTGGCAATCAAGAAATTGTGAAAGGGTGAACAACCGTGGTCGCTTTTGCGGCACCCTTGACGTTTGGAATCTCGAAGCAATTGTTGTTTCCACTGACGCGCATGATTTTACACTCGGCGGCGGTGGATTCGTGAATTGAAGTGTGGTTGGGAGGGTATCTGATTGTAGCTGTGGCGGCCAATCGGACCCGTTGATTGCAAAGCAAAGGCTGGTGGTAACGTCTGGTAGGCATCGAATCTGGTTCAGACCTCGAGGGTCTTTGGTAGCGGACGACGAGTTATCCTCGAAGCACAGTGTGGGGATCTCGTAACTAAGGGCGACGGTGCTCTCCGTTGTGCGCAGCCTGGCAATCCCAACACTTTTCCTCTGGGTCTTGTGGCGCTTTCCGGCACGTTTACGCCGACGGCGTAAGTTGGCGTTGGAGGTCGATGCGTTCGAGTGCCATGGTGAATATGTCGACGGCTTGTCAGGGTCTGCTAAGATGCTGAACCTGTTTGCTAGGCCAGCCTCAGATTTGATGCATCGCAGCAAGGGAGGAAATTCAAGATACCAGTGGGAGTGAATTTGTACTCCGGGCGGTGGCCGGGCAGCCATGTACATGAAGGGGGACGGCTGTCTTTGGAACGATGCGCAAATGAAAGTGGCTGTGCGTGCATGTTGTCGCGAGAAGAGAATGGTGCTTGTCCTAGGATCATGCGAGTAGTAGGAGAAGAGGGAGTGCTAGTCTAGGAGATGTAGGGACGAACGAGGAGAAGACGACACAGGCGTAGCTGTGGGCATTTGCCTTGTTCAGGCCATGGCATCGCTCATGCCATACAAGCTATAGCATGTGTTTGTGTGCAGTACACGCAAGGAAGGGGCGACTGTCAGGTGACGGGGCTAGCTGTTTCCGGCAGAGGTGCGAGGCAAGTAAGATGGGTGCATTTGCATTGCTGCTCTTGGATAACTCGAGAGTTGTTTGTGTCTGCTCGGCATCTTCATCACGTGATCACCGTTGCTGGGGGCTTGGTTGTTGATGGGCCAGTTGGGATGGCAGGTAGTACTGAGCAATGCTGTGTGGTGGTTTTGGAGATGACAACCCGATGGATGGGGGGTGGATGGATGGATGGATGCGTTGGACGTCACCGGCGCTGTGTGTCTGCATGCATGCGCAGTGGATGGTGAGGAGCAAGTAGAGAGGAGGCAGCTCGTCTCTCGTCACCGGCGGCTGACAAAGGAAGCTCGGGCCTCGCGCGATCCCCAAGAGCAGGCAGGCACAGGCGGTGGTGTGCGGTAGTGGGGAAAGCCATGTCTCTCCCGGTGCCCGCCCTGCCTGGGCTCATCCATCTGTTCTGTTCCCAATTGCCCTTGACCCCACCCCGCAATTACTTTCGCCGCCCACACAATCCCCCCCTCCCACAGGCGCTCCAGGATAATTGGCATCACCCGCGAGCCTGCAATTACCTGGAGCCGCTTCTGCCGTGTCCATCCCGTCTCCGTCGTATTTTCGCCCGACCATGGCCAATCCCTCCCGCCCACACTCGGCGCACACGCACCATCGCCGCCCAGGCTCGCGCATCGTACCTGCAATTCCTTACCGCCTGTCCAAAGCCCAGCCACCAGCGAGGCCCATTACGCCTGAAGAGTCCAGCAAAGGCACCCCAGCGCCGCCCGCCGGCCTGCAGCCGGAGCAGAGGCAGCAGCAGCACCGGCAGCAGCACCAGTCTGATGTACGCTCAGACGGACACCAAGCAGCCATCGCAGACACGCCTCCTACCCCCGATTCGAGGGCCTCTGCCGATATCACGGGGAATGGAGCTGGTGCACCTCGGTCGGATAGCGCCACTGGGGAGCTGTCAAATGGACATACGCCATCTGCAGGCACTTCTGGTGGGTATTCGATATGGGCTACTGCCAACATGGGGCACGCACTAAGCTTTGCAAATGCAGAAAAGAACCAACGTCGGGCCATCAATGGCCACGCCAACGCCAAACCTCGCACTCCCCGCCCCGAGTCCAAGCCCGGCGTGAATGGCGTCCATCGCAAACTCACCATACCAACCTATCTGCCCCCGCCCTTTGTCCCCTCGAGCAAGGCAGGCACCCAAACACCGCCCGTCAATGGAAGCGACGCCACGCATACCCCAACGCACCGTACCCATTTGAGCGGCGGTGCTGTAGCATCACAGAGTGCAAATGAGTCGCCGGCCATTCCCATCACACCCCGTGAACCCGACATGGATGTGCATGCTTTGCCTCGACCTCCGCCTGGCTTTGGGCCCCAGCAGTTTACTCCCTTCTTCCCCGGTCCCACCCAATACACACCAGAAGGAGCGCCCTGGCATCTTCCTCCGCATGCGGTTGCGCCGCCAGACCCTGCCTACCAGAACGGGGTTGAGTATCACGCCCCGCTCTTTTCAAACGGCCCTCAGGCCTTTCCAGCGCCCTACAATGGCCATTTCTCTCCTCGAGAGGGTGCCCTAGCTGCAAGCGGAGCCCTCAATTCTCATTCACAGTCGCCAACCAAAGGTCAATTTGAGACAATGCCTAGCATTGATCATGTAGACGATCAGCACCCCATCACCCACCAGGATGCGCCTCCAGAGGAGCGAGTCGAGTCTTCTTTTGAGCTCGCAGGCTACTTATCCTCGCAGTTTGGCAACGCCGAGCTTGCCGATTTTATTCTTCACATCAGGTCCCCTGAGTCTATTCTGCTGTCGCTACCAGTCCATGGAATTGTCGTGATGCGCAGCCCCGTCATTGCAGAAGCTATTCGCCACAGTCCCACACCTTCTCACAGCAACAGGGACGCGCGCCCAGTGACCATACTTGCGCGGGACCCTCTGGCAACCCGTGATTCTCTAGAAGAGGCCGTTCGAGTCTTGTACGGCGCGCCGCTTATCCGTCCTCAAGGATTTTTGTACGGACTCGAGCCGTTTGTAACATCTCCGTCGCCCGAAGCACGTCGCCGCATGCAGCAAGTCTTGGGCTACATTGCTGCGGCCAGAACTCTGCAGATACCCAGCATGCAGTCCCGCGGCGTTCATACCGCCAGAATGCTGCTGCGATGGGATACCGTGGATCTTGTCCTGCAATATGCACTAGGCTCCGACGTTGAGGATCCTTTTCTGACTGCCCTGATCAACCACGCCCTTGCATTTATTGCCTACTTTTTCCCCGTCAACTTCAAGCTACATGCAATTGCGCCAGAACTCAAGGATGCACCGCGCCTGCCGACAGTGGTGCCCGTGGAATCTCGTCAGCCTGCCCACAATCCTCGATTGAGCAAAATTCGATTCGGCGATGCACCACCCGAAGATGACGTCCAAGTTCAACCTAGCTATCCTACCTTGGTCCTTTCGACCATTCTTCTTTCTCTTCCTCTTTCGCTGATTGAACACTTGTTCAACCAAGCGGCGGCCCAACGGATTAGCCCGAATGAGGTTGCGAGGCAAATACGAGATGTCATTGACGAGCGCGAAAGTCGGCGACAGAAGGCACTTCGAAGTCAGTCGATACAGGCTCAAGATGGCTCCATGTCAAGCCTGAACAACGTTTACGTTGAAGAGAATTTAGAGCAGGTCGAACCATCACCGCTCCATCCTTCTGGCTATCGGCTGACGACCAGACGAGTGTAGTGGTAGCAGGGTATGGACAGGGCTTCAAGACGCATAAAAGTACTCCTGGTAGATGTGCTGGTAATTATCTCTGTTATTTTGTTTGGTAGCTGTGATACCTTTACTCGAGCAGATTTGTTGTGATTTGGAACAAGCGCACCTGGGCGATTTCTGTGGATCAGTTTGTGTTGGAACTACAGCATCACTTTGGGTGTGTGATTTTTTTTTTCTTCTTCTCCTTTTTATAAAGTATGTAGCATAGCAAGCGTTGAGGGCGTTTTGCGTGGACATGAGGGACGGGTTGCTGATCCACGGCCTTTCCTACTAAAAGCACGAAACGACATGACGAAGCGTATTCCCCCTTGTAACACGACAGCATGGTTAGCGGAACACTGTTCTGTAAAAAAACAACACGGCATACCTCTTTCTTTGTTCAGCGACGGCGTCTGGGTGCGAGGTTAGTTCGGGGGGCTGGGCAAAGGCTAAAACCAGGGTTGCAGTTTAGAGGCCTTGATATGCCGATTGGAAAAGCGAGTAATTCTTTTTCGAAAACACGATACATGGCTGCTTGTATATTGCGCGTCGTAAGCCGCAGGTGGTGTATTGCAAGTCCCGCATTGGCGACGTGTAATGCATTGTTTGTCAGAGTATCTTTTCCGTACTGGCCGACCATGGTGCTAGTGCAGCCCCAAGAGATTTGTACTATCTGCACACGAAAGGTGGAGGTGGATCAAGTCCCCGCTCGCAGCTCGTTGGATGTTCGTTTTGTCAGCAAAGTCCAAGAAACGACGGGACAGGTGAACAAGACGAGGCCTAGGCTAGCAGAATGGCACGTGACGCGAGTTGAAAAGTAATCAGTCTGTGCTGCCGACGCCCTGGGCCTCGGGTGCCGAGGACGGCAAAGTGCTCCAACCACGCTATGCAAGAGCGCCCCCGGGAATTAGCCATTGGTCATGGGTCATTCATCGTCTCCTCGAGACGGGAATAATGACACACAATCTGGGTTCATGACGTGCTTTCCGAGACCCTCTTGCTCTCGTTTACTGCTAGTAGCCGACACATCATCCGTCGAACACCTAGTAAGTAAGCATTTATTTGGCCATGGACATGCTATAGACATTATTCATACAACAGGATTGGTAAAAACATTAAGTAACAAGCCTCGCCACGGCAGGCTGCCGTCCGTATTCGGCATGCCGCACGCCCGTTTCGCATCACCGCGCTTGTGGCGCTCGTGCTCGTGCTTGTGCTTGTCCTTGTGCTCGTCCTCGGCCATTACTTGCAGCGAGACGCGAGCAAAATGCAGAAACATTCCCTAAACCATGGCTCCTTGCCTAGTTTCTGCCAGACCCGCTTTGCCGTGCCAGGCGATTTGCCATTGCTCATCTCTACTGTCCTGCCGACTAACTACTGTCATACACTCACCGGTTCGGCCACACTTGAAATACCTCTTCGCCCCTTCCATGGGCTCTTTTTGCTGGTAGGCATTGCCGCGACTTCATCTCTGCGGCCAAATTCCATCTGCATTGCTGTGGAACCATTGACGCCGATACGCTCACCTTCCTTCACCTCCAGTCCGCCATGGACCGTACTACACCCACGTCCCCAGAGAAACCCAGCTATGCTGCGCCAGTATTAAGTGCACCACTGAACTTTGACGAAAAGCCGGACAGCCAGCCATCGCTCGCCTCGTCCGATTCAGTGCACAGCTCAGGCCTGGTAGCCGTAGACGAACATCCACAACAGGAAAAACACGTGACCGAGTCCACCAGCACCCAGCAATCAGGGCCAGACTTGGAACCGGTTCGGTCCGCCCACCCAAGCGTACGCGATGTCTCCAAAATCCCCAATGGTGGCCTATGGGCTTGGCTCCAGGTCCTTGGTGGCTTCTTCCTGCTCTTCAACTCGTGGGGCATCATCAACACCTTTGGCTCTTACCAGGCCTACTACGAAACAACACTCCTCCCCAATTCAAGCCCATCGTCCATCTCATGGATAGGCTCCATCCAAGCTTTCCTTCTCATGATGGTCGGCGCCCTTACTGGCCCCATCTACGATGCTGGCTATTTCCGAGAACTGCTCCTTGTCGGCAGCTTCCTGCTTGTCTTTGGTCAGATGATGCTGAGTCTCTGCCACGCATACTGGCAAGTCCTTCTGGCTCAGGCCTTTTGCATTGGCATCGGAACAGGCTGTCTCTTTGTGCCTAGCGTGGCTATCCTCTCCACCTACTTCAGTACCAAAATTGGCACCGTCATTGGTATCGCTGCATCCGGCTCTTCTTTTGGTGGTGTCATATACCCTATTGTATTCCACAAACTTCTCCCGCAAATCGGCTTCGCCTGGACCACCAGAGTCCTAGGTTTCATCATCCTTGCCACCATGGTCGTACCCAATGTGTGCATGCGCGTGCGCGTCTTGCCGGCAAAGTCGCGCTCGCTGCTTGATCTGCGTGCCTTCCTGATTCCTGCATACAGTCTGCAGGTTACGGGTTTCTTCCTAGGTTTCATGGGCTTGTATATGCCCTTCTTCTTTGGACAGGTGTACGCGATTCAAGAGCGAATTACGAGTGAAGGGCTAGCGTTTTACTTGCTGGCTGTCATGAACAGTACCAGTATGTTTGGCCGAATCCTTCCCAATGTGGTACGTTTTGCTTCCTTCACGTCTTGCCCAATTCGTCGTTTGCTAATGTCATGTGCGTAGTTGTCTGACAAGATTGGGCCGTTCAATGTTGTGATCCCTTGCGCACTGATTTCCGGTATTCTCTGCATCTGCTTCATGGCCGTCTCTTCTTCAGCGGGTATCATCGTGATGATGGCATTCTACGGCTTCTTTTCTGGGTCCTTCGTCAGCCTGCCCCCAACCATAATCGTACACCTTAGTGCAGACGCGCGGGACAAGATCGGCACTAGATTCGGCCAAAGCTTTGGTATTGTAGCCATCGGATTGCTTGTCGGTACACCAATTGGAGGCGCAATCCAGGAAAACGGTGGTTTCGATGATTTGTGGACATATGGAGGTTGTTTGCTGTTTAGTAGTGCGGCACTACTTGCATGTGCGCGGGTGGCGTTCAAGGGCCGCGGCCTCATGGTTAAAGCCTGATGAGAAATAGCTGACATGATATCGCACTAGATGATTACGACCTGGAAAGCCAACCAAAAGTTACTTGATTAGTACTGTCTATGTATAGTGATCCTAATTCATGCCTGTACCACAAAGAAATTCAGCATTTTTCATAGTGAGTAATAACTTCTCCTAATAGCAAAAGGAAACGACCAGTGTCTTCTCAGCTCAGTCCACCCTCTCACAAGCAGCCTTCAGATCTGCATTAAGTATCTCGAATCCCCTCTTAGTTTTCTCGGCAAACCCTACCTGTCTCGCTACAACATTCCCACCCATGAGCCACCCCAGCGCCCCGCTAAACTCTTCACTCTGCGTCAAGCGACAACCTCCAGGTATCACTGTGCTCTCCTCGAATAGGAAACAATGGGTGCCCGTAAACACGAACGGTAAGCTTCCAGTCCACGCAAACGTAGTTGGCGTATTTTGCTGGTACATTCCGTTAGCGAAAAGTACACATGACTGGGCTACTACTCTAATGGCAAACGTACTTGTATCACGGGGTTCATCTTTTGTCCACCTGTTGCAAAATGCACAAGAAGCTTCTGTCCGGGCTCGAGGGTGCCGTGCGGTGTGATTGATGAGAAGAAGGAGCTATGCCATTTGGATAGCGATGCGAAGTCGAGGAATTTGTCGCGGACCTGCGAGGGGGGTGCCGCAATGTCGATGGTTGTTACTATTGACATTTTGATTTGGGCGTGATGGGTTATGAGTATGTCACTATAGGACTGATGGCAGGTTGCTTCTGTGAAGGTGAGAGTATTGCGTACGATGATTGTTGGTAGATGAGATGTTTTTTTGGATAGTGTTGAAGGTGAGGGAAAGACCCATCCAGTTGTCGATTCACAATGTTTAAGTAATGGCCTACAAGAAGGAAGAATCTGCCTATTGCGGCTCTTTTCGCGGAAATGCACATACTATAACACTACAAAATTGTGTTATCATCTGCTCTGCATGTGTTCGAATTGACCCGTGATGTGAGATGTAAGGCATCCAGTCTGCGCTAATCTTGTTGCGGCTCAATGCGCGAGATCATCTTACAACAGGCGTAGTAGCCGCCTAACCCAACAGACTTGCATCAGTGCCCGCATTAATCAACCCACCTTCTTCGCTTGCAATCATCGTGCAAATTACCATATTCGTTTGCGTCGTATCTAGCCCATGACTACCGATGGTCAATGTAGCTGGCCGTTCCAAAGGATGCTCCAACTGCCGAAAACGCCGCGTCAAATGTGGTAAGCAACGTCCTTGTGCGCATCTCCGCAATGCCCAGGCTGACATATTTGCGCAAGACGAGACACAGCCCACTTGTAAGAGATGTCAAAAGCTGGCTATCGCTTGCGACGGCCCCAGAACGCTCGTGTTCGTCGCAGGAAAAATCGTCAGGTCCAGACGGACGCAGCATTCATCGAAGAAAACGACGGACGTGACAACGACATCTGAATGGAAGACAGAAGATGTTGAGAAATCGGCCTCGGTCTCTCCACCATATCAGTCTTCAGTTCAACACGTAGGGCTGAGATTCAACGAGTACGAAGTCTACATATGTCATCTGCGCCAATACCTCTATCCCAATGGCCCCGTTGACCTAGGACTACAACAACTTCGGACCTCGGACCTTGCTCTTGGCCGATATCCAACCATAGGTGCAGGCGCTAATCCTTTGTTCAATCAAGCAGCCTTGACCTTTGCCACGTTGTTATTTGGCGCCCGACACCACCAGGCTCGCATCCTTGCCAAGGGTTACGACATGCATGGTGTCGCGCTCCGGCAGCTGAACCAAGCACTCAGTGTTCCGGGATGTCATGAGCGAGACGACATCATAAACGTCATCACCATCATGGCTATGCTTGAGATGTGCTTACCAAGTGGCCCCAGAAATTGGCTAAAACACATGCTGGGGCTAGAACAGCTCATAGCACTTCGTGACCCAGGTTCGCTGGCATATGCTTCGACTCAAACGCTAGAGTTGTACAAAGGCGTTCGACACATGATCTTGCTTGCTTCTTTGCGAAATAGATCTCCATCTGTTCTGGCTAGACAGCGATGGAAGGCCGTTTTACAAACGCCTCTCTCACTTGAAACAAGAGAAGAAAGGGATTTGCATAACGTAATGGCAGACTGCACGGTACTGATTGCTGCCAGCGACGAGGTTGCCAGAGCACGCAACACGCACGATCGCATACGCTTAGAAAGGATCGAAGGAATCCAAAGAAAGGCTGGGGAGCTACTTGTCTTCCTGCAGACATGGAAACAGCAGTGGGACAATGAAAAAGAAAACTCTTGGACCACGGAAGATGACTTTGGTGCCATTTGCGCAGGTGCTCCACAAGCGTTGTGGACGGTATACAAGTTCCGCAACGATTCCATTGCGCGCATGTTCATGCTATACAGCACTGCCATGGTGCATGTGCTTCAAATCATCGAAGCAACCGAAGAGTTACTGGCGCAGTCAGGATTTCCGGGAGGGGGAACCAGCGGTACCGTTCATCTTATCTATGCAACAGGTCTCGATATAGCACGAAGCATACCGGGGTATCTGCAACACAGGAAATATCGCGGTGATACTGGGTTTACTTCTCCCGTTGTACAGTGGGCAGCTCTTATGGCTTGGCAAGTACTTGGGCGCGATGAGTCTGCTGAGGGAAAGTGGATGGTGGAAGCTTTGCAGGGGTATAGCGAGTATGCTGTAGCAAAGGCTGCATGGGAGGTTTGATGCATTTGTTCTATGATTTTGTAGTGAATTTTCGAGAAAGCAATTGTGAGCAACGAGTTACCTGGACTTTATACATTGCAGTTGTTGATAGCATTCGACGTACAAGAAAGCTAGGATACCACCGCGTTGTTAGAACAATGAGACTTGGAAGTCAACATGGAATTAAGTTCATCAGCCTTTCAAATGGCTATATTACGTACAACTAACTTGACCTTGAATTCAAAACAGGATAAGCAGAATGACAAGGACACGCCACGTTGCCAAAAGAGTGAGTGAACGTGATGAACCGTGCTCAGATTGTCAGTTTAGTTGCGAACCATCACACCCATAATCAGATACAAGTGCCTTTTATTATCTCTTCAAGACATGACATGAATTCCATAGATGCGGGATTTCTGATCGAGCTTATTCGCGAAACTCCAAGATTGGCTCTCTTTCTACAAGGGAGCATTCTGAGGATTAACAAAGCATCTGAATACCGATGAGATCTTATACATTTCTCAATTCTCTCTTGTAATCAAAATCCACTGCAACAAGCGAGGTTGTGTGTTCTACGTGCTCCTAAGACCGAGGCCTCTTGTGAGACATGATAGAACCAGTCAAGTAGGTACGATCTATAGTGACACAAACAGAGGTTAAGAAGAAAATTGTGTTTGATCTGTGAGAATGGTAAGTAGCCATGATTGCAGCGAGTTAAGTTTCGTTGAGGTATCCTTGCCATTGCTACATCCAGCGTCTGGCTATTAAATTATGCTACATTCTAAGGCCTGTAGAAGCTATCGCTTTACTGTTGTAGATGAGTAACAATGTAGTATTGCATGAGCTGAGTAGCATTGCAGGGATCTAGAACACGCTCCACAAGGTTCCGATCTGGTATAGATGCTAAGTGTATGGAGTCTAATAACGGAACAAATTTATTATCTTTTTCATAATGTGCTTTCTTTCCGAATTAGCTTTCAAGTCCGTGGTAGCTTGTACAGGCCTTGGCGGTTCTAATCGCTATGAATAACAAGCCAAGCGGAGTAATCTGATAATCATTTCACTTACGTACCAGGCTGACTAAGAGATGAATGTTTGTTATTATCCATGGAATTCCAGGGTACGTAATCGAGCTTGAAATTCATTCGATGACAACGAAGATTCCTTACTACCATAACAATCATCTATCTAGCTGTCTTACAAATTCCAGCAGACATAGCTACAAAATATAGGCTACTAAAGAGTGAAGGCACAAAAGGTTAGCGTAAGACAGATTCACTCCTACACCTACGCGTGTGACGCGAAGTCTTGGAAGTGGCTTATAAATTTCTGTTGGTGGTAAAAGTATCTACGGCTAGTAATCATGTACAAACCAGATACAGTGAGAGGGTGGGCTAACTGCACGCTAAACAGCACGTGAGTGGGTTTAGCCGTCTTGATACGCGACATTGCCTAGTACTTCCCTCCTAAGATAACTTAGCGATTACTCATATACTTACGCGTTTTGCCAGTACATATCGGCGCTGCAAAAGGAATGATATTTGCAGCTGCTCACCATGATTCATTCAGCTTAAGGAAATCCTACATCATACCACTAGGTGGGATCAGGGTAGTATACGAGCAATGCGAGGTATTGGCCCCCAGGATCCAATATCGAGCACAAGCCTTGGCGCTTCTTCTCCAGCCTTCCCTGTCAAACTTGCTGAGGCTAAATGGGATATTAGAGGCAGCGCAACGGATACGATATTCCGCTGCAAGGTATTATGGGCTCGTAAACTTCGCATTTTGAAGCGTTTCCAGAACTTTGCATGATGCTGAGGTTACCAGTTTGAGAGTAGCATCTTCGAGAGAGGGGGAAGTAGCAGATATAAAACCAATGCCGATTCTTGCCAGAAGTAAAGAACCACTACGCTTCAGACAACTACTTTCTCAATCATCTCAATCGCAATCAGCTCTTCCAAATCCCTCACCATGAAATTCACTGCTTTCGCTATCGTCACTCTCCTGCCGCTCACGACCCTCTCTGCCCCCACGGCCGAAGCCGAAGGCGGGTTGCTCTTTGCCCCAGAAGTCGAGGGCGAGCTCCCCGTCCTCCAGGACATCAAGGCCCGCAGTCTGGAGAAGCGGGCTATCACTGGCACCGTCACGGCTGATGCGCTCAAGCATCGTCAATGCCCGCGGACCTCGTGCACGGCCGATGGTCAGTTCTCACGTGGAACACGCATCCAAATCCGGTGCTATACAGATACGGATACGACTGTCGTCTCAGGAAATCCGTACGTACTCACTGCAAGGCCGGTGGACGGATGTAATTAATTGACTACGTTAGATTCTGGGGTAAGCTCCAGGCAAGTGGAGTCGCAAACAATAACTGGGTGTCTCTTTATTATGTAACCTGGAGTGGTAAGTCTTTGGCCTGATGTAATCGGTATTATCGAATATAACATACTAACCTGCTGTAGGGGGTATTCCCCAGTGCTAATTGACTGCAAAATTGGCCAGATACAGGCTAGTTGGAGCTATGGTAGTAGTAGTTTCAATGCTCTCTATATTACTATGATATATGTAGTATTAAGCGCTACTGTTTGGATACTTCTTAAAGTACAATGAATACATTGAATGTCTGCCTGTTAATTCTGCTCTTGTCAAAATCTCTCCTCTTATAAGAGTGCACCGAAAGCGCTCTGTTATTACATGGCAGCATGTACCCAGCAAATGGCCGTGAGCATCTCTGCATGTTGCAGGATAAACCTTAGCATTTGTCATTACCAGTGCACCTTGCCCCAACAGTTCTCAGGATGGCCGTTATTACACTGCCTTTTCCACTTGCAATTATCCCACGGATAATTGGACGTATCTGCTGTCTCGCAGTAGTAGCGTCCTCTGACGCCGTTGTTGTCATCGAACCATCTCAGTTCTCCCACATTGATACCGTTGCAGTTGTACTGAGTCGCAGCGTCGTCGAACCCATTGTTGGTGTCATTATCAGAGCAGGCACAGTATTTGTAACTGGCACAGGCATTGACCTTAGCCATTCCAATAGCGATGATATAGACAGCAACGAAACCGAGGCCCTAATCCATTACTATCAGCCAAATATAGCAGAGAAATCCAACAAGACATCGTAGCAATACCTTCATCTTGTAGTCGTTGAGTTTGATTGATAGTGTACGTAGCGGTGAAGTTTGATGCTTATTCGATGGTATAGACGGAAACGATGCGTCGATTCGGATTCATGAAACAATTGGGAGGGCCTTGAGAACGCGGAGGACTACTCTGTAGTTCTCCTGTGAGCAGCCAAAGGGCGGAGACAATATATAAGGAGAAAGTGCAGAAATCACACCTAGAGAGCTAGGGAAGCCACCGAATACGAAATAAGTTATACGTACGGACTACGAGTCATCAGTCCATAGACCGACCTGTGCTTTTGGAATATGTCCGTTTTCGCCGTTCAATTTTAACGCCGGTGAAATCGAACGGCATGCTGTATCTAAACACGTAACCTAACGATTGGATTTTGATAAAGAGCAGAGCATCTCGGTTACGTTCCCAATAGGCCAATCAGTAGCGTATTTGAGGCTTTACTCTTATACTGACTGTCTATATAAGCAAAGCACATACTAGGTAACTGTTGAAGTTCTCACCTGCAGGGCTGTCTATAGCAGTACCGCCATAGTACTACCGAGCTTTAGATAGTGTAGGCAGACCACGTTGCCCTGACCTTCGCCCAGACATGGTGCGCTAAACCTAGATAGGAAAATATCTCGCATATCCTAAGAAATCGCTCAGAACACATAAGCTATTAGCGTCGCCTTATTTATTTAGTACTAATTAGCGTCCTTAGTAGGGGGTCTGTCTATAAAACCTTTTCGAAATTAATTTAGAAAAAAAATCTTCTTTAATAATAAAATTAGACGTTATAATAGAATCTTCTCTCTCCTTGCTTCTATTCCAGCCTCGCAGCCCCTAAAGTAGGGGCAATAGCCTCCTCTACCTAAATTGTTAGGATACTAAGCGTAATCTAGACGAGTATATAGTATAAATATTACTATTAAATAATTTTTAGTTAAATTAGATTAGAACCAATTCTGAACCCGTTCACTCTGCCAAATCTCGCCTAATTTTAGCATGTTCTAGTGCGCAGTCAGACCTCTTGGCAGGATATGTCTGGGCAGAGGTCAGGGCCGGGTGGTCTGCAACCTGCTTTAGATAAGCCTGGCAGCTCCACTACGTAGCGCTCTGAGTCGAGAATCTCGTTTCGCCGAATCTTCGAAGTTTGAAAGTGGGTCTTCAACTCGGGGTAGTTGCATTTTTTTGTTCTGCTCTGATTGGCGCCCGATGATCTACTCCATATCACTGATAATGCTCTTACGTACACACGTGTACATAATATCATTTGAACCCAGCAATAATGCTGGACAGCACTGGTATTATCCGGACCATCATTATCGTCCATCTCCCCGCCCTGATGAATTGTACTATCTCGCGTGTTGGTGCTTCCCATTCCACACAGCCAGAGTGTTTTTGCAGACTTGCAGCCTACCCTTTACTTAAGTCTCTGTAAATTTTGCGCTATTCTCTTGAACGCACCTAGCTGCTTTAAGTAATCCTCACAATGGAAGCTTTGTCATACTTCCTCGATACTTTCGCTTCCCCACGACGGCTCCTACCCATGCTTGGACTTGTCTCACTTGTTCTCTCCAGTGGAGCTGCCGTTCCAGATCGGAAGGCATTGATTATTGATACGGATATCTTCAGCGATGTTGAGTACGCGTTGCACTATTGCTCAATGCCGCATCGTTGCTAATCTACCCTTTCCAGCGACGCCGCTGCTCTTCTTCTTGCGGCGACTAATCCTAGAATCTCTCTTCTCGCCGTAAATGTGAACTATCCCTCTTCATACTCTGCCCTTGCCACCTCGGCCATCCTTGCACACTACGGACACCCAAGTACTCCCATTGGCCTCCGCCGACCCATCACGAACGAGACTTTCTTTGATGGCTGGGCATATGAATTTGGTGAGTATACAAGCAAGGTGGCCTATCATTGGTCCGGTGGTTCACTACCATGGTTCAGACCCGAAGATGCCTGGATTCCCGTGGAATTGTATCGGAAGGTGCTTTCGGAGCAAGATGACAACAGCGTGACGATTGCTAGTATCGGCTTTCTAGAGAATGTAAGCTACGCACGCTCCGTCAACAAGGTTATGAGAAAGTAGTCTTAACGAGAATAGCTCTCAGTACTCCTGAATTCAACAGCAGACAAGTACTCGATGCTGTCGGGCGTTGAACTTGTTCGCGCTAAAGTTGCAGAGCTAGTCGTCATGGGTGGCGACTATCCCTCCGGATACGAATTCAATTTCTGGTCTGATAATCCTCTCGCGACTGCTCACGTCGTCAATACCTGGCCTGGTCGCATAACGTACCTGGGCTCTAAAGTTGGAGAGGATATATCTTCTGGTGCTATCCTAACAACACAAGGCCCAATGAATGACCCAGTGAAGAGCGCTTTCGAGCATTATATCGGGTACAACAGATCACGGTATTCATGGGATCCCTTGACAGTAGTGTATGCTTGTCAAGGGCTCGGCGAGTGGTTCGAGTATGGGGGATCAGGAGGGTACAATCACGTCTTTCCCAACGGGTCGAATGTCTGGGTTGAAGGAGGAGAGGGGAAAGAGCAGCATTATTTGAAATTGAAGATGGACAATGAGACCATCGCGAGGGAGCTGGATAGTATGCTCTTACATGGAGCTAAACTCTACGAGAAACCATAGAACACTAAATCTCTTCGTTCTCAGCTGCAGATCCTATTGCCATTATGCTACCTTCATCAAATATGTGTATGTGATAGGTCAATCGATTGCCCAGAATGACGGTAGCTTTACAAACGCTTGCAACGAGACGCAATCTTGCAAATAACAAAAGAGGCTATGCAATCTGGTCAGCTCAACTACATTTTTCAGTTGATTCATGTTTCGCAGTCATGTGGGAAGGCTGAGCTGTGCGACGCGCAGCATGCTACGGTCTAGAGTATGGTTATCGGCCAGTCTTGTCATGTGCCAAGTCCACAATGCGGCCAAACTCTGCTCCTGTCCACCTTAACCGCAATTGTCTAGCCCAAGGCTGAGAAGCTGCACACCCCTGCAGTAGTCACAAATCACTACCATGGTATACGCGTTGAGCGTCTTCGCTAGAGCGGAGTCCCAGGATAGGCAGCTTACATCGCATCAGAGCAAATGCATTACACTATCTTTAACCTCGCCGAACATACAGCCTCAGGCACAGATAAAGATTTGAAGAATATCTGGTGCTTGTACTATAGATCTGCATGTGCTTGCGTACTCGTAGTTGGTTCTGACATCCAATCGGAGTATTCCAGCAACGATTAGACGTTTAACTATAGTAGAGTTCTGAGTGTCAGTGACAAAAGGCCTGAACTTCGCATCTCATACGTTTAGTGACATATGAACATGCTATCGTCCATATCTAAGTCTCGGTGTAGGCAATCATAAGCTGCTGGCGAACAGTCCCGGATGGATCCATTACAGATGCCTTAACTACACATGGCTTAACTACAGATAGTAGCTCGACGAGCCCCATCGAGGCGCCAGCGACTAAAATCGAGAATCCCCTTTGCAAAACATCTAGGAACTATCAATCCTTGCTATTTGATAAATCAGTCGAGTTGACACTGGAAAACAGTATTAGGTCTGAGTTCAGGTATTTAGGATGCCGTGATGACATGGAGGAATTCATCACATACGCCCGACAAGATGCACCGCAGTTGTTCCTTGTCTTCATTTCCTTTGGCAACAAAAGAGTTGAAGCAGGAACTCAAGTTTTTGTATGAAATGGGTTTTCGCGATCGCAAATTGCTGATTGGGGTTGTTCGAAATCATCTGGCACATTAATTTCGAGAACACTCCAATATCGTGCCACACTCTTCCCCAACGGGCGAGGGTGAGATGGACGAAATCCTCTCGAGCAATACCAACAGCGGGCTGCAGTTTCTATTTTTTCTCTTTTTTTTCAAATCAGATACGTTTCATCATTAAATGCCTGAGAGCTGAAAGTTCTCATTTTTTCTGGGAGTACCGCGATACGCGAGCATTGGCTACTTCAGGGAAGTCTCGAGAAACATTATCTAAGCCAAGCAAATCCACAAACCGACGGACTTCCTGTTTTCGAGTGGACTTCGAAGTCGCCAGATAATGACGGAGAAAGTATCTTTATAGACGCCATAGCAGTTGCAGTCAAGAGATGAAAGTGGGGGACGTAGACCCCTCTTCCAGCTGTGGAAAGGTGCCAAGATGGAGAAGGTGGTAAGAATTTAAAAACTCTTTCTCTATATCTTCATTGATTGGAAACTATACATACCACTTTATGGCCGTGGATTATCAGCAGCCTGCAGTAGAACACTCTCCAGTCTCTGCAACGTTCAATGGAAATAAAAGGGGTTGAGGCTTTGTCAAAGCATCGATTGCAGCTCCTCGGAGCTGGCTCTCGTTGGTGTTCTCCGCGAAGGTGGGGGCATATCAGGCAAGACAACCACCCAGCTGAAAAAGCAAATATGAGCATGCGGGGGTTTTATGACTACCAGCAAACTTAATTCATGCCCCTATTTACGAAGTGGAGTGGCCATCAACAACTCTGTGGTCCAATTGCACAACTTACAGCACAGATTATACACAGGGACGATTGGAGATCTGATTTCCCTGGTCGCACTGCGATGTTGTGGTTGCTCTTGTTTGCAGTTGAACTTTTCTTCTATAGACTTGAGCAATAGTCTGGGTGTGCAGGTTATTATTACTGTTTCTGAGGCGAGACTGCTCCTGGCACATGACATGCAGCGTCCGCTTCTCCATGGTCTACTTTGCCACATTTCCCTCGTAAAATGCCACTGTCATTATGGTTTAGGTATAAGGTTTGGTGGCGTCCTGGCTAGTAGCAAATGGGTAGCTCGACCTGGAACTCCAACTACGAAAAAGCAATACAGTGAAAGCTAAAGCGGGCCATGACGTAAAAAAAACCATATTCAAGCTACGGCGCACACTATAGAGCCACGTTCTCAGGTATGATCATCGTTCTTGCAGCGCTTGCAAATATTGCAGCTGAAACTTCCCACATTGGCACAAGCCACCTCTGTAGTTCCCACTTATCACTACGATTCGCTACGGTATCTTCGCCCATCCAATGGTACATGTAGGTATTTGACTAAGAGTTGCAACGTACCTCTAGCAAGTAAAACGATAGGTTCTGAGGTCTTTTATTGCTTTTGAAGGACTAAACTCTCAAGCTAGACCGTGTAAGACAAAATGATGCCTAGATTTCCAACCTAACAAGATCCCCGGTTCACCTATAGGACGCGCGAAGACGTGGTACATGGTTTTATTATTCGTCATCGGCAACGTGGTTTTGTTTTTCTATGTCGTGCATACCTTCTATTCTCCCAGCTCTGGGGTGCTTGGAGCTGTATCCGCAGACTTACTATTCTTAAGCATAATGTATTCTCCATGGATATTAAGTTCTCTTTGGATGTTCGCTATCGCTGTGAGTCCAGTTTGGGGCCAATTTGATCGGCTAGCCACTCTACCGATTTGCGCGGTGAGCATATTTCCATTTTGAGCTTCCTCAGAATTAAGCTGACAGTTACTTAGCAAACATGCATCGCCAACTCTTTCGCTAATTCCATATGCGATTCGCTCGAGGATTTTCCATGTCTGTGCAGCAATCGAACGCAGCAGTTTATCGCCATGAACTGCTTTTCCACGTCATGCACTGCTCGGGAGACTTTGACGACCTTGAACGCCACCATGGTTATGTGCGAGGCACCGGTTCGGGACAGATCCGAGTTGTATCGCCTGGTTAACACTGTCCTCTTCGCCTTGAGTACTGCGGCCATCCTGGGGCGATTTTATTCCCATTTCGCTCTTGGGCGCTTGCAACTTCTTGATGACGGGAATATGGCTTTGATACTGGTATGTTTTGTCGTTAAGTGCCTGTGGCGACTAACATCCTGTAGGTGCTGAATATAGTGATGTTCACTCTGACAACCATGATGTGTGAGTCCTCGCGTTTTCAAAACTACATTGGATGGGTAAACGCTAATCCAAGAAGCATTCACTGGACTCGGACAAGATATGTGGAAAGTCCCATTTAAGGACATTAGGTTGACACTGGTATACTTCTGGATCTCCGTACCATTCTACGGAATCGAGTTTGGCCTTGGCAAGATTGCCTTTGGCCTTTTTTTACCTTCGCATCTTTAACGATAGCGGTTTCCGCAAGTTAGTCTGGTCTATTGTTATCTTTACGCTCCTTTACACGATTGCCTTTGCCTTTTTGGGTATCTTTATCTGCTCTCCTGTGAGCTATTTTTGGTGGCAATGGGACCTGGGTGGCGAGCACAAAGGCAAGTGTCTGAACAACAACCATATTGGGTTTGTCACGGCATCGTTTAGTATCTTTACAGACCTTGCTATGTTAGGCCTGCCTATACCCCAAGTCTGGGCTTTACATCTTTCTACGAAGAAGAAAGTTGGAGTCTTATTCATGTTTAGTATTGGCTTCTTGTAAGTTTCCTTGATATATATCTGCGTGACGTCTTAGAGGATGCTAATATCAATACAGGGTGACTCTAGTTTCAATCATCCGACTGCACGCTTTAGTCAACTTTGCCAAATCTTCAAATATCACTTGTAATGCCACTTCCTTCTCTCCTTCTAGAACTTACTCTGATAAGCCTAACAGACGACTTCCTTGATACTTCGCTTTGGTCATTGATCGAAATTTACGTCGGCATAATTTGTGTATGCATGCCATCGCTCAAGCTCGGTCTCCAATTCTTCTACCCTAAGATTCTACGCAGCGTCGTGTCCACCTCGAGATATACCAGTTCAGGCCAAACAGGAGGCAATATTGCCATTCAAAAAAGTGTTCAAGTCACTATAGGTAGCTATTCGACGAAGCCCAAAACGGAGGAGCAAGGCAGCACTGTTGAATTAGTGGAAATAGTGGGAGATGCAAACAGCACACTAATGGATGAAGAGTCACATGGTGAAATAAACAGTGTAAATCAGGGATAGTTGCCTGGATACTTGACATTTTCTATGAAAAGAGTAAGGTTTAATCTAGAAAATCTCACTATGGCTGAGAAGCTCTTTTTTTGTTACCCGATTCCGGCACGTTATCGTGCGGTGCATCTTCCTTTTTTTGAGAAAATTAATTCGGAATCTCTATAACACATAGATACTCCAATATAAATCATAAAGTGTACGATGTGTTTGAATGAATTGAAGAAATCAGCACTTAAGAAGAGTTTTAGTAGATGCTTGAATACTCCGAATGAATCACCTGACAGAACATCTTGGGAATACAACTTTGAAAGTTATACATGAGACTTCATGACTGCGTTTGTCAGTAGCCTCGTATATTAATTCAAACAATTTCAATATGCTGCACTTGTTCAGCCAAGACTTTCCCCCCCGACTTCATTCTGCATCACACCAATAACGACAGCATCATCTACGACCCGGTACTTTACATCTGCTGTCGGACGGAAAATTATAGGGCTACTGCATCCTGGAATGGGAAAGACATTATTGTACAAGCGAGCTGCCGGTGCCGCCCATCCAAACCCATCAGCCGAATATTCAAGCTAGCCATCCTCCGCACATGCGCCCTAAAATCCTTTCTTCCTTCGTACCAGATCAATCGGTGGTCCCAGAGAGTTATGAAACCGTGGGTAAAAATAGGATACCAAAGGCGCTGGGCAGCAATAGCCAACGTCGCAGCGCCTGTGAAAAAAGGCCCTGTTGGAACAGATCCACTGTATCAGCTGTTCATGAGGATCATCTGAGCTCAACAATGAGTTGTGACTCGCAAGACAAAGTTTAAGCAAACTATACCCAGTGGAGTAGCGGTTGTATCAAGAACACTTTGCTATGTGGTTGTATGAACCATCCCTGTTTAGAAAGACTTTGGTCATCTCCTCGCAAAGCCCGGAAGAATTTGAGGTCCACTTCAAACGTGGGTCGTGTGATAGAAAACTCGGATCGGCCAGATGACTCCAATTTGAGCCTAGACTACGTATGATACTAATGCGATAGCATGGGGTGAGGAGTAATTTCTCGCAAAATGTAACCCCGGATATCCTTGTTCCTGTTGCATTCCATTGTCGCTCTAAATTGGGCCCACTAGAAGCGGTATTATGAGCAACCAACTGATTGAGGACATAAGGGACAGGGGGTCTGTATCGAACCGGAAGAAGTCGGGGCATCACGATGATAACGAATTGTTGGATTCACATTGTGGTGCCAGAAAGATGATAGTTGGTAATACTTTGGTGGTATAGAATCGGGTCATTGCTGTCACGGCCGGGACGGCCACTAAAAACGGACGGTATATCAAAACAGTATGGTACAAGTATATCTATCTCGGAACTGCGGGAGGTGGGCTGAGTACAGAATACCAGCCAAGGCAGTATACCTAAACAGGGTAAGTCACGGCAGCTTCTTAACAAACGGTAAATGCTCTTTGATGAGTTTCGGAAAGGAAAAAGTAGGTAGAGCTGATGCAGTTGGCCCCAGAACCCGCAAACTGAAAGCTGGAGATTACGTATTTTGTGTCTGCTTACATTGTTTCCACATTGCTATTATTGTGAACGAGATTGATTACGAGATACTTTAAGTGCAGGAGCGGAACGAAGGCTTGCTTGGTCAGATCCGTCCCATAATCATATCTCTACATGTCGAAAGCTTGCTTCTTCCAACCCGTTACTCTACTAAAACAACATCTTTGTTATTAAAAGTATTATTGCTAGCTACCATGTTTGGTTTATTCTATTCCTAGTCTTTTAGTCTAAAAGTACTACTGCTTGGACTTGACCTATCTCCGCCTGTAACCTGGACATTATACTGTTTCGAACTATGACTCGTGAGCTGGATATCATGATCGCCGTGTTGGCTTGGATGCTCCTGATACCCTGCCCGTGATGGATGACCAGATGTCCACGCGCGCGACCGTTTGCGACTGGAACTATCATGCGTTGACGTATCGTTAAGGACCTGGCGGAGCAAGGGGCGGAGTGTAGCAGCGGCGGAAGTAGCAAGGCCGATGCCGGTCTCACAAGTAGACCAGATTGCAACATCGATGGTAGAGTAGAGGAAGTCGGGGATATCGTTAAGGCCATTGATGAAAGGCAGGCGGACAATAGTCGCTGAGGAACCACTAGCAAGGCATTAGTGTACAATACCCATGATGATTTGAGGTTATAGTCTTACATAGCGCAGCAGGCAAGTACAACGCCAACAGTAACTTTGTTCCTCTTGTTCATTTGTAGGCCATGCACAATGAATATTGGAACGATACTAAACGTCCAATCGGTTATACATGACAACGCAGAGTAGCCATAGAACGAATTGACAATGACTTTGGAGGGTATGCAGTGGCCTTTACCACCGCGGAATTGTTCCCAGAAGAAGGAAACCGGCCAACACTGGAAGGTGAAGATGAAGAAGAAGTACACACTGTATACTTGGATGGCAAGCAGGGAAGTCCAAAGAATGATGCGATGGGTTTTCCTCTGGGCTATGCGCAGCAGAAAGATACCGATGCTGGATTTGAGAAAGATGTTCGTGATAACGTAGGTCGGTTCGCAGGCCCACCACCACTACTGCAAGTTAACATCAACGCCCGCTAAACTGTGAATATGATGTTACAAACCTTCATGCCAACTGGGTAGTTTTCGTCGGGAATAAGATATCGTCGTTTTCCAGTTCCGTTCGAAATACCCAGACGCGCTAGGGTACAAAAGACCAAGAATGAAACCAGCGTAAGGACAGAGAAGTAGTCGTCGGCCGAGAAGTTCTTCACAATTACTAATTTGCAGTAGCATCGAAGCATCACTAGCAGAATGCAGATGCACATGAAGAAGCCAAGGACACCAATGAATTCTTCAGATCGATCATCGCGCGCCATTCTTGTGGTTGAAAGTTTGGTGTAAAATGGATCAAACTCAAAATCCGGCGCGCAAGCAAGACTGTTATGACAGCGTTGCTCTTTGCACGTCTTTTTCTTAAGGGGCTGACATGACTCTGTACGCGACTAGGCGTCCTACCTATATGGAGAAGGAATTTCCGTCAACTCGGAACACAAGCAAACGCAGACTAGCTCTGATTCTTACCCATGTCGTTTCAGCCCTAAATCGGCAGTGTCTTGCCGTGCGTGGTGGGCAAGCAGCTACGCTTATTCAATCATTGTTCGGCTCGGGTTTGATCGCGCGATTAGCGTCTACGCCACCCTTGAGAATTTGCTCTACGCTAATTTTACTACATAGAGCTGATAAGTTCTGGAACAACTCAAATGCGCAAAAAGCGGGGATGGCGTATCAAAAAATTTGCATTGTTTGATCGCCTCAAGAGCAGGGTAAACATTGAGTCTAGAATTACGTAGACATGTATGGGAACATGCGATGGCGTAAGATTGTTGATCTACCAGATCTCGATTGATCCGCCCCACCGCAATGGCCAAAGGTCATCTGCAAATCCCCCAAGATCATTACCCCTAGTTTCACACGGAGGGTATGAGCTTAACTATTGAATTTCTCGATCGAGATGACCGCTATTGGAACTGTTCTTGAGTTTGCTATCATGTATCAAGGTAAGCACATCGAACATGGTCTGGATATATATTCCTTGCATTGTAAGACGTTAACCCCAACGATGTATCAAACGTATTTGAATTTCTAGCCGGCTTGTACATAGCCTTCGATTTTTCCACTCAAATGAAGCAAAATGCCCCCTTGTGAGCAATTGGCCCTTGCAAAGGACCCTCTATGACATCCCGGCGCTATCATGCAACCTTTGTGCGACACCCCCACACCTAGGTTCTATACTACGGCCTGACTGTCGCGTAGATTTAGCTAGCATCGGCTTTTTTCATGATTGGAAAAGAAAATGTTTACTGGTCTTTAGTTGCTCCTTGAACAAAACAGCTTTAATATCTAGTGATGATTCTCCCACACTCAATCTGTTACAATGGAGCTTAATTTGTTCGTGTAATCGAGCGTGGACTGATATAAATTCAATTACACATTGAGCATATATAGCATTGGTTTCCAGACGAGTACAGCTAAAGGAAATGTCGCTTAGGTTCTTGGCCACGTCGTAATTTCTAGTGCAAAAGGAAGGAAATACTCCCACGTTCGTTGTGTAATAGGGCGAGTGATATTAGTAAGTCAAGATCGTGACTGAAATTTTCCAAGTTTAGGCGTTCCATCGCTTTGCAACTCCTGTCTTTGGGCGGTAGCATGGTAGCCACTCCTTCAGAGCCTTTCTAAATAATTCTCGACTCTTGACTCCATCAGGAACAGTAACACCCGTTGTCCTGAAATCAAAACAATGTGCTGCATCTTTCAGGACCATGCCAAACAACCTGTCCTTTCCGGTGCTTACTCCGCATTTGGGAATGTCTTGTGTAATTTCAACCTTTGGTGCAAAATCCAGGTCGGAAGCAGGTGAATTCAGGCGCCAAGGATCGAACTCCCCATTAGACCAGTACGTATTTGATGGTCGAATGGACCATCCACCGAGGACTTTGTTAGTGTTGTTAGTGTTCGGCAACTCTGGGAACAGAGGAGCAGTTGCGTTAGGGAATTGGAGATGACATATGTCGCGCTGATGTTGAATCGAATTATACTTTGAAATGAGTTGATGAGGGCCAATATTGGCGGCTTGGAAGAATCCTATACTTAATCAGAATCGGTTGAAGCGTATTGAGAGAACGGATTTGAGACGCACCCCATTCGGTACAATACTGCCATGTCCAGCTAATCGTTGCAGGGTCCTTGAACGCACCGTCCAAGATGCACTTTCCACCTGTTTTGTTCGCCTGACCCGAGCACTCTAGGTCAAAGTAATCATTTACCATGGTCACAAAGTTGGGGTATGTAGACCACCTATCTACCACCCACTTCGCGCCTTTGCTCGGTGCCCATCCCTCCTTTGGTGCCGTCTTTCCGTTTGCAAGATCAGTTTCAATCCAATCACAGAATTGGCGAAGCCCGTAAATATCGCCCTCCATGCCGTATGACTGCCATCTCGCGGTTATAAGAGTAAGCGCATCCGCAAAACCAGCATTCGAGCTATTGGCAGCCCCTAGGCCCAAGAATTGTTCTTTCAGTTTAGCAGTGGCATGCTTTCCTTTATCCATGACTCCGTCTATGTATCTGACTGCAGCCTGGATGTCCCGAGTACAATTTCCAAAGCCCTTTGCGTTCATGCCTCGCCATACTGGGTCGAAGTAATATGTCTGATCAACTCTAGCCTCAACTGGGGCCGAAGCAGCCCATGAAGCGTAAATCGTGTCAGGATACAAGTTTCGCATGAACGCAGCCCTCATTCCAGGATAGGAACCGCCAATAAAGACCCATGGTGTCCGGTCAGGAGTGAGTGTTGCATTGATTTCTTTTCTGCTGAATTGCTTCGCGAAGCGGTCAACATCCGCAAGTGCTTGCTCCGACGTTAAGAACCTGAAAGCCTCTGCTGGTGTGTCGATCGATATGGTTACAGGTGACGAATCGCCATAGAATCGATGCTCCCATACAATGCCAATACCATTGAATTCATCGACTATTTGCTTGAAAAAGCTGGTTTCGTCGCGGAGCCTAAACTGAGAGCTTGTGTTGGCATTAGCTTCGCCCACATCATAGATGAAGACGGGGCCGCCCAGTTTATAGCTTTTTGTGTTGACCCAGTATCTATTGCGAAAATTCCCAGCGCTCGAGCCGAAGTGATCCAATGGGAGCTCAATATACTCAGGGCTGATAGGTCCGGGATCAGCAGCCAGGGAAGCAGATGTATCTCCACTTGATGCGGATTTGACAGATTTGAAGGATTCAACATTAGGGGAATTCTCCTCAATAGGTGTACCATCGGGATTGAGGCCCATCTGGGCAAGCAAATCCCACTGATTTTGAATGGCTCCATTCAAAGCGTTCGTGTTCTGCAGCAGCGCAAGAGTGAGCGCCGCTATCAATTTCGAGGATCGCATATCGGCAAGAGGGGTTCTCGAGTAAACGAATAATTAATACCGCGAACAAGCTCACAAGAGAAGAGTGAGTGAAATCTGAGTTTCACCAACTAGGCTAGAACCTCGGATGTGGCAATGGAGGAAATGGGCTCCAGGGAAAGTTGTAGTCCACAACCACATAGTATATAAGCATAGCGAAAACAGAATCCAGCTGAACGCGAACACAATTTTGGCTAAAGTCTGCTCATCATTGCCACTAGCTCATGGGCACAGCTCGCATATCGGCATGATTGGCTGTCCAAATTTCAAAGCGTTCAAACCCGCCATCTTCCAAATTGCGCCGCTTCGCATCCGAGGCCAAAATGGCAAAAGACAACGGTGATTAGCTACGAATAGAAGGAGACACGGATCATAGCCAAGTGTAGTGGAGCAAAGCTTATCGGCGTTGGTTGCGAATGGCAGGTCTTTGCCAAGCTTCTTGAGACCTTCCTTCTTCAGCCTAGCGATGTAACGTAGCTTAGGCCCAGATTGATGCACACGTACTATGTAATGCGACCAAACTCAAGATTCCGTACCGCGCAAGCAAAAGCAATATATCAATGGAATAACATGGCTATTTTCTTCATGTTGTATCTGCCTGATCCACTCGAGGTGCATCAGCCTATTCTTGCTTACTATGTACAAAAACATAGCAAGGCCCGTTTTAGTCGACCAGGAACTATATTGCTTAAAAAAATCCGTAGTAAAGGTACGCTTCCTAGCCAATGAGGCCAAAGTCTGGGCTTTCAGCTCTAGTGGCATTATCTCTCTTTATCTTTTGTGAAAAGCGAAAGCCTAAGAATCATTCTATAGAGACAATACTTGTAAGCCCTGTGACTCCGTGGAGTAGTCTAATGTTGCTAAGCATTGGACAGACGTAGCTAATTCCTACACAACCTCTTTCCATCACCCCCTTATGGAGATTTGTCACTTAGAAAAAGGAACGCATTTCAATTCACGCATTTTTATCCACTCATATAGCTACAAAAAGCCATGATAAAGCCCGTAAACTCTGGAAACTGGTCTAGCACCTACTTGACATAACCTGGAAGATAGACAAGAGCATCTTGTTTGGAGATGCAGCACATCGGATGCTCCCTCATGTGCACCTATGACCCTCTGCAAGTCGATGGTACTAACCGAACAACATAGATCAAGGTCAGGGGCTAAACCAAGGCAATATGGAAGCTATTACAGTAAGTGTGTTCCACAGATCTCAAGTCTCAGCGACATACTCGCTCGCCTCCAGCCGGTGCAAGACGCGAGACGCAACAGAACTGATGCAATACTGATCTCTCAAAAATGCTGGCCAACATGAATCATGCCACATTAAGACTGTGACGAAGACATGTCTACATGTTGATATGTGGAGTAGGGGTAATTCTGACTGTGGAATAAGAAAACATTCAGCAACCCAGCCATACCGTTAAATGCAGCAGGGGAACTTCAAGTTACAGTTCATCCCTATTCTTGATGGAAACTCAGGAAGAAATCCATGTATTTAAATTCCAAGAAGAAGTCAAATTAATCATAATAACCTGTATACTTGAAGTGTTTGCAGACTGCGATTGGCCCCTCTGGCGTTGCTGCGTCGTGGCTGAATAGCTGCAGCTGCGTTTAGTGGACATGATTTTGAGTATTTTAGGCTGCTCGCAGAATTTTTCAGTCCATGTTTGACAAGGCTACGATAGCGGCTGCACAAATATCGTATTCATATGAAGATCGTAAGATGATGCCCTAGAGAGAACATCACGGCCTTCATAGGAATGTCTCTCGTCCTTGTGATAGTAATCTTAATGTCCAAAATCTTAATTTGTGTGATGATCATTGTATCTTTGCATAAACATGCATGTTAGAGGCGCATTACGCGCACGTGTGCGGTAGATGGATCCTTTGCTTGGCAATGCCAAGCATGAGTCATATCTCCTCATTATTACTACATATGTTAATTCCGAAACTCTTTAAACCAGTCCAAACAGGCATATGCAAGGAAACACATCAGTCAATTCGTTACAAAATGGACTTTTACCACCTTATTCCTAAGGGATGTCATGCTGTTCCGCATGAAAGACTCGATCTCCGCCCAGATGAAGATATTGATTCCGAGCTACAGAGTGTGAGACCTATCGTCAGTCAGAAGAACGTATGGTTTTTCTGGCATGCCGGGTTTAGCGCCTTACACCCTTACACAAAGCGTAACATTCGGACCTGGCATCGCCGATTTTCGAAGAAGGGCTGGACGATCCGCGTGATCAGCTGCCATCCTAACGATGCCTTGAATATCGCCAATCTTCTAGACATCAAAGACCGGAACCTGTTTCCTGATGCTTTTGCGGAAGGGACAATAGGTGGAAAATACGCCGCGCAGCACACGTCTGATCTTGTCCGCTGGCCTCTGTTACTCAAATATGGCGGCATTTACGCCGACGTTGGAATGATACAGATTGGAGATATAGATCGTTTGTGGAACGAAACAATCGGAGACCCCTCTTCCAGTTACGAAGTTCTCAGTTACAGAGGTCCGCAACAGCAGGGAAGGAATCTTACAAACTACTTCTTTGCTTGCAAAGCAGGCAATGAACTCTTCGCTCGTTGCCACAGGATTTTTCTCAAGCTTTGGCAGGGTCGGACAGATACCGTGGGACTGCACGCACATCCATTATTGGAAGGTGTTCCTTTGCAGGGTGGATCTTTCGAGATAAGAGAAGAAGGAAAGCCTACTATCAGTAAAGAGGAAGCTGGAAAGATGCTGACAGACTACATCATACAAGGCCAGGTCGTCAGCATGGTCATGGGCCTGGTTGACGAAGTAGAGGGATGGAATGGACCAGACTACGTAAAAAATCACGTGTATGGAATCGACTTCATGAGCGGGAGTCAGCTCATTAATGAGTTGACTGACTGGAACGGAAGGGCACAATTCGAGTTGTTGTCAACAAATATGCCAGAGAAAGGAACAAAAGAAGATGAAAAGCAGAGGAAGGCAAGGGAAATCATCCAGGCAGTGCTGCAGAACAGCTGGGGGTTCAAATTGGCCCACGGAATGATATTAGCTGTATACAAGGAGACATTGGGGAGTCTTTGGAGGGATAATGAAGGATCCGATGTTTCTGAGGGAACATATGCAGCATTATTCAGACACGCAACGTTATACTGGGACCAAGATGCACTCCCCTGTAAAGTTGATTTCCCAATTACTCCGCCTTGGAAGAGGGGTACGTTACTAGATGAGAGGTAGATTTTCTGTATGTTCAGATTAGTAAATAAGTACGGTGTGTCTACACACTAAGCTAGAACCAGTTTTTTTCTTCCATAAAGAATAGTAGAACAGGAAAGTTCTCTTTGCATATCTGTCCATGGATGACACAAAACGGTTTCACGGGAAGAAGAAGCAGTCGGAAGTACAGATTCCGTTACTACAGGCTGATCGAATAGAATCTCACTACAGGTAGCATAGAGTGGTTGATGTTGTAGGTGCAGAGGGCCAGCAAAGATGTGTGTACTTGAATAGTAAGTTCTAATTAAGCAACCGGAATCTGCAGGCGAGTTTTCCCCCAACCCCAGTCTATCTTTTGTTTAGAAGTAGCACTTAACATGCATTGATTCTTAGTTGTGATATTTCACATGTGATTCGCCAGTTTGTAATGCCACCCATCAGAAACCTGTGCACTACTAGTTTGGAACACCATTACTCTTATCACTATTTTGGGCATTGCAGTAACGCTAAGGGTCGCATTTGGTCGCAATTCTCTATTTTTAAGACATTGGTCGACGTGATGTGGCGAGTCCAATGCGGGGCGTTATTGCAAGGCCACAAGGACCAAATCTACTAAATCCAGAAACTACTCATGCGCCCAAGTCCGAACTTAGAGCGGTACTGTGTTGCAGAGTATAGGAAATCGCCCCATTTTGTAATCAAGATTCCTGTCGCATATCATGAACCTGATATTGAAATCCTTCCTCTCGTTCCCATCTCTGTATTTCGGCGTCCTTCGCTTCTCATCTCATCAACGTTTCTGCATCCCTCAGTATGCAGTTCACTATTGTCGGCCTGCTCACCACTGGACTTTTTATCGAAGTGCATTGCGCTGAAGCATCCTCTGTTTGAAGCAAAATTCTTATTAGTCAGAATTGCAACCCAGGCAGCACTTCATGGACCAATCGCGCCGAATGCTATGTTGTCATCTTGATGCAACAACCGGTGTGCATGGCTACTAGGCCTTGTACCAGAATGATCAGCAACACGCATTTAGCACCTGTAACGGAGATTTCTGCAATGGCTTTCAAGCTTCTTCTTCTTCATCTTCAGTCGCTTCTTCGGCCTCGGCCTCATCAGTCATCACAAGCACACCAACTGGATGAAGCCTACTGCCTGCCCCGTCATCAATCGTCAGCAGAACCCCTGGAACACCTTTTCTCGGCGCCGAATGCAAACCCTTTTTGGAAGTTAGTTCGCGCAATGATAATGTATGACATTAGGTCAGTAATACCACATGGATTGCGGGATATGGAAACCCCAACGCTGAGTGTGACACTGATGCGTATTTCACTTACAATACTAGTGATGGTGGCCTTTGCCGAGGCGTTCGTGTTTCATAATGGGCACAGCGGCTGAAAATATAGCTCCTATTCCTAGTGCCTTTTGTGGTCCAGTTGGCAGGGCTACGTTACACCGACTAGGTGCGATACAAATTACCACCAGTACTGCCCTTTTTACTAGTGCTGCATAGATTGCAAGTATGGCGAGTGGAGCTTCCGCCATTCTGTTTGGAGTTGGGCCTTTTGGCTTTTCAAAGTACAGCACAATCATAAAATCGTCTACGTATGTATTCATAAATGATTCATCGATTGCAATTTCGGTGTATGATGAAATTCACACACCAACAACTTGCGTAAATATCTGAGACGTTGCGCTGCGTACTACCTAAAGATACAACTACCCAGGCACATGCAGAAAACCCTCGAAGAGAAAGGGAGAAGCAAAGAACAGCTGCATGAACTCATCTACGTTGTAGCATAATTGCACTATTACGAAGTTCACTAGCAATGACGTGTAGGCCATGATCGCTTTCCCAACGTAATTCTACACGAACGCTAGCTGGGCGATTCTTGAAAATACGGTGACGAAGTGACAACTGTATACCAAGAGGGAACACCTAGAGAAAGTATCGTGATTAAAGTACATTAAAGCGCTGCAACATTACATTAGTAAGAACAAAAAAGCAATATGGTGCAATCATAAAGTTTGTTGAGGTCTGCAGCTAGGGTAGTTACATTAGATCTACCGTCGCGTCTAGTCGTTCGCTACAGTTTCCTAGTACAAAGGAACTTGAAAAACAGTATTCATTATTTATTGTCTCTACGCATGGGGTATCAACTTCAGTTTCAGAGTAGAACAATGGGTCGGTGCTTGGAAAGTTTCCCCACAGTGACTTTACTTAAGATAGATAAGTTACTTCTAAGGTTTCAAATCTGCTGTTGAAATGTTTCCGCCACAAAATTTTGTACTATCGTAATGCTCCAGTAGAAAGCCACACTTCATAAGGCCCTCCCGATACCATTCTGCAACACCATCTCATTTTCTTCTTTCTACCTCTCAAACCTCTCACAGTTTATCGGCTGCATCTCGGTCGCTTGTATCTCCCTCTATCTTGTTGAGTCTTAGCTAAAACTATGTTCTCCCAGAATCTTCTCCGCAGGATCCGATTGGCCTATGCTCTACCATCAGCGGATGCAGCTATCCTCCTGGATTGTCAAAGCAATAATATTTTTCGGCCGCATGCTTTACATCATCATCTTATGTCTGTACATGAACCGGACATTACTAAGAATGAGGACAACAATCTTTTCTTGGATGATTTTCATACTTATCAAGGGATCGCACGCAGCAAGAATCGTCCGCCAGAAGGAGCAAGAGGGTGTCGCTCGTGTTGAAACGGGCGCACTCGGCCGGCTAGTCTATGGTATCATCTCCACGCTCTGCCTATGTGCTCTGTCCTTTGCATTAGGTATGTTCGCGCAAATAACCCTACACTATAGCATTAACACATCGCAGGTCTTCGGGTAAAGCAATTCAAGAGAAAGGAAAGATTCCCGTTTGCCTGGATACTTTGCCATGTGCAGACTGTGGTGGCCATGATGCTTGTTATCTCAGGCGCGATCCTAGTGTACGGCCTCAATCTCACCACTTGGAAGCAATGTCGGGCATCGATCACAGTGTGTCTATTCTTGTACTTCTTTTCGAAGGTTCTACTGTAAGCAATTCCTGAAAGTACTTCCATTTGATGAATTTCCGATTACTCATACAAAAGATGTAGATATATCTTCTACCTGGAGAGGATACACATTGCACGCCAACCTCTTGTGCGAAGATGCGACAGAATATGGATTGGCGGCATGATCATGACCGTTGGATTTTTCGGAGGCATGGCGATCTGGTGCCTCGCCACACCTCACTCTGCTATCAGTGTACACGATGGTCATTGTCGGATAGGAAGCGATATGATACCATCCTACACTACCTTTTCTACTGACATTGTCATCAATTTCTCACTCACAGGCGTCTTCATTTGGCTGATCTTACCTATTTTGAAAAACCAGGCACGAGGTCCAACGACTATCCTCAATGAATTCTCACGGCCTCCTGCTCTAGATCAATTTGGACTTAGGGGAGTCCTGCGCAGCAATGCCGAGAGAGACGACCCACTTGCTTCCAGTGTCAAGAAAATGCTTAGGAGAAATATCATTGGATCTGTCTTGACATTCGCAGCCGGCGCAATCAACCTAATCGTCTACTTTGTTGATGCGACTAGTCAAATCGCATTTGTTTGTTACACGATGTGCATTATCGACGGTATGTAGCCACAATCACACTGGAGAGCATTACGCTGACATATTCGCAGTGGTGTTTGGAGTGCTGGTCGTCCAATGGCTAACGTTCGGGTCATACGAACCAGATTTGGCCTTCAATCAGCCGTTCGGTCTCGCTAATGTCGCGAACTCACAGATAGCGTATGCCGCTGATCACAGTATGCCTGAGCGCATCAACATCCCCAATCAAAAATCAGGAATGGAATCAAGATGCGCTATGAACTTCATTACTATGGCTGAGGATCCTGAAACTTGATCTATAGTATCTTAGTATTGTAGTCGCTAGCGCTAGTCAAAGTAGTACTGCTTCCAGAGTATTCGCGCTTTACTGTACTAATGTCATTTTGTGATATCTCATTTGGAGGTATATCTTTCTATCATGCGTCCTAACTAAGAACTCAACCTACTAAGACCTACGTATTTTTCTCAATGATGAATGACGATTCATTTGAAACTCCTGACTTAAAGTCACTCGGACTAGCTAGTCTTTGGGATTATTAGGTTTCTTTAGGACAGCTTTCTATTCAATGAGATTACTTTCTACTGATAGCATGTACTCATGTTACCTAAAATGTACATGGCGAAAATGTATCCTTTGAAGTAAAACTCACACGACAATGACATTTTTTTTTGCTCTGATAGGAAATACTAAATGATTCCAAATATTGAATTCCAAAGTACTAACTCTGTGTCGTATCATCTTAAGCGGCCTACCCTCTGTGCACGACTGTAGAACTACCCATTTATTCAACATTGCCTTTGTACAAGCAGCTGCAGTACCTGCTGCATACCAGTGTCAGTCATCGTTCTTGTGACTTGCTGAGAAATCACAAACTCCTTTGATCACGATGGTAAGAACTGCACGCCACACCCCACTACCTTCCATTTCGAAAGCATGGAGCATATGGTTTTGTTCTGCGATCGCATCTCGGCCTCTTAGATTTCATGACAGTGTCGCTAGATATCATGATGCTAAAATGAATCCCAATCTCTGGAAATTCAATTACTGGATGTTCTTGGAACCAGCCTTCAGGAATGGCCCGATTAACACAACATGTAGATTTCCCCTCGCTGCACTGTCTGGTTCAATCCCTTAAGCTCTCGATGCGAAGATGGCTCATGAACATTTGTGCATCACAATTGATATTCTCACATACTGTGCGATTGGCCGACTGACAGAAATTTGTCTTTAGAAGCCCTTGAAAGGGGTATTTTCCATTCACACAAGTTGTACTGTCATGGAGTTTGTAATTATGTTTTCCTTTGTACATCGCGTCTTTGTCTAAGCAAGGGTGTACAAATCTACAGGCCAGCCCACCTTTTCTGCTACAGAGTCCCTCTGCGTGGCTTCTAGCATGTTTGCCCCACAAAGACGAAGAACTTAGTTTATTTTTGAATGATCAAATTCTGCCATTGTAAGGTAGGGTGATGCTCATCAGTATACTTGCTGACAAATCTCGTTTCGTGTTGCTTTCCATAGTCATGTTCAATGATACCTATACTGATGATTACATCACCCAGAAGTATTTCTGGTATCTTTTCGGGGGATGGGATACCTCCGCAAGTTCCCATGATAAGACCAACACGACCCACGTACAGGTTCTCTGCAAATACACAGGGGCTATTGTTGCGCTATTTTTGCCGTCTCCAGCTAGTGCACGAGTGTCACAGCATGAGGACCTGTCCGGCCGGTAGAATACGCGTTAGGGTCATATTTAGGCTGGTTATTGCCGTTCCAGGTATCAACGAAAACAGCTGTGATAGCAGTAGGCTATATCGGCAGAGCTCAAAGAATGGCAACTTGGAATTCACCAAGGCGATTAAGCTGGCGAGGCGGTATTCTATCGTTTGACTGCTCACCTGATTCGATGAAAACATTGTTCTTCAAATTTCAACTCTTTGGGGGTACTCCTTGTTCTTTTGAGTGACTGTTCAGGTGTGATGAGTCTCCCAGATGTCAGCGTCATTGGGGTTTTAGTGGTGTACGGTCGCGGTCTGATTCACCTTGTCGGCTTTGCGTCACCAAATATGCACCCTGAACGATATTCTTCAAATCACCTGGAACGAGCTCATGCGGTCCTTCCATGCTGCGGATCCTAAAGCACACAGTTCCAGAATCAGCCTCTTGGGTCCAATGAATTGTTTCGGGTCGAGCATCAGGTTTCAGAAGATTCAAAATGTTAAAAACGTCAGCGTGCTGGTCCAAATTTTGTTCTAAACATTTTCAAAACTCCGCCGGACCTATCTGTGTGGTGGCAAAGTATCTCCGCAACATGGCTCTCAGATTCATCCAACCGATCTTGCAATTCAAGTAATATTCCTTGAGTATGAGAGACCATAGCACCAAGGTAGTCTCTGTCTGATGGTAAACGTTCCTCGTACTTTCACAAATTGCTGGCACCTGCACGCTGGATTAGTCCGCCAAATCCCTTGCCAGATATGGTCACTATCTCGAGTCCTCGCGAGAAATCGGTTCAACTGCTAGCACCTTTTTTGCAGATTCGTTTCCCTTTGTTTTGAACATGGCTTGGAAGATGTAGATGGAACCTTAAACACGATCGCCTTTAGTGGTAGGAGCGTTCCTGAAGATCCGTTGGCTGTTATTTTCAAGATTCAAAAACATCAGCAGATCCGAATCGAACTGGTCACAATACTCTATTTCTTCGATGTCCGTCTGCTCGAATAGACAAGTAGAGATGCATTGCCCAGTTCTGATCAGCTTAAGAGAATTACGTAAAATGTGCAGGAGAGCTGTAGTGCCATTCATTAACCACCTTAGTACGTGTCTAACTTAACACGCTTTTATTACTGTAAAGTTTAGGCATGTCTCACGCTTTAGGAGTAGTACATGTAGAGTTAGTTTCTCTATAAGCAAAGCTCTAGATCCAAAAAAAAAACTCAAGGTAGATACTAGTATTAGATAATAGACACATCTCTGATGTAGTAGGTTCTAGATACAGCGATTAAACACTGAAGGTGCTTTGCAATGACAGATCGCGAGAGTTGAAGCCAACTCCAACAGTGATACTACCCGTGGGAATCCTCCACTGCTGCGAATTGACATTCCAATAACTCAGATCGCGCCGCGCCAAGTCGAATGACACTGATGTAGACTCCCCAGGGTTAAGAAAGATCTTCTCAAAGCCTCTCAAGCTACGCACTGGCATCCCCGCCTCATCTGGATACGAGAGATAGAGTTGGGGGACGGCAGCTCCCCCCTTTTCACCCGTGTTGCTGACGGTGACCTCAACTGTTACAAGGGTCGCCCAAAGCTCCACATTGCCACCAGGATATATTGGTGCATTAGGATCCGGAGTGCGCGAGGCGTTAGCTACCACAATATTCGTCTTCAGATTTGAGACGTTGAAGGTTGTGTAACTGAGCCCGAAGCCGAATGGGAATGCGACACTTTTATTCTCGGCATCGAATTCCTTATAGTCTATCAAGTTGCCTTCCACGAAATTTGCTTGCCAAGCAATAGGATCGTTTGTCTCTTGCAGAGTGGTGCTGTTCTCGATATTGTGTTGATAATCAGTCTCGTTGTTCGCGATAGTATATGGAAGCTTGCCAGATGGATTCACATCTCCCCAAAGAATGTCGACGATAGAGTTGCCTGTTTCCTCTCCAGGCATGTGCGCTACAAGGATGGCGGTGACGTTTGCATTGTTTCGCCACGGTATGGTATTTGGCGATGCGCCATGGAGAACGACAACGGTATTGTTGCATACACTAGTGACACTTTCTACCACTGTCGTAGAATTCCACCCTGGAATTAAAGTCGTGCGATCAAAGCCTTCGGTAGCCCATGACTTAAGGAATATGATGCACACGTCTATTGGTACTGGTGCTAACGACGACAGTCCAGTCTGGGAAATGAACTTGTTATCCGTGATGTATTGGACATGAGCGCCATATGACTGACCCCGAGATTTGATGGCATCCAGTGGAGGAACGATCTGGTAGAAGCGCCCAGTGCCACTGCCCCCACCAACAGGAAGAGTTCCAATGTCGTAATCATCGCTGTAGTACTGGCCGGTGGTGAGATCGGCAGCATCGTTCCCGAAGACGGCAATCTGCATTGGCTGTTGAAGGGGCAATGTGTTGTTGGTATTCTTCAAAAGGACAGTGCCTGCAGCACCCAGTTCTCGAATCAACTGAGTGGATGCTGCGCTTCGAACGTTGGTCTCGGGGCCATAGGTGTAGTTGTAGAGATAAGCTGACTCTGGGAAAAAGTTCAAATTTGGCGTATAGGGATCGATGTGAGGATAGCCGCTATCTTGACCGAGATAGTAATATGGCGTCATGATACGAAGAATCATATCATCCAATCGTTCAAGAGCGAGGGTACCGTTATTCCTGTTAACACGGTTACTCAAAAGAAGGCTCAAAGACTTCGTGTGAGTCATACACTGCCATGGTAATATTGGCACCAAAGTAAGTTGGCGTCCCAGTTGTGAAGTCAATGCCTCCGGGCATGTCCATGTCGAGTCCAGCTTCAATTGCCGCAACGCCAGTATGAGTCGCAAGCCAATCAGACATGACATAGCCCTGGAATCCAAGCTCTTCTTTTAACAGGCCATTGAGTGTCTTGGAGTTTTGGCATCCGTAGCTAAACTCGCTATTAGCGGGAAAATGTTCCTGAGTATCACGGGATACTCACCTGCCGTTGATACGGTTGTAGGAACACATCACAGACGAAGATCCAGCTCTTAATGCGTTCGCAAAAGGCCAGAGATAGGTCTCGTGCATAGTCTTTTTCATTTAGCGGGCTTCGGAATTTCTGTCGATGATGCTCACCTTGTCATCGACATTCGAGCTGACAGCTTCAATAGTGACACCATTTTCACTGATTGAGGGATTTCTCTGGGTCTCCTGCTCATTTAGAATAAAGTGTTTAACGCAAGTTTGCAGTCCTGTGCTCTGCATGCCTTCAACGGTATCTTCGACAAGTACACCAGAAAGGTAGGAATCTGGGCTGAAACCCTCCCAGTTGCGGCCTCCGAAGGGGGAGCGGCCTAACGGTCCAACAACGGGCCCAAGGGCTACATGTGAGCCCTTTCCTCGGAACTCACTAGCCATATAGAAACCACGTTCCCTAGCGAGTGAACGATCCCATGAAGCGGCGACAGTGAGGCCAGCAGGAAACACAGATGCATCGATGGCTTGGCGAATAGCCAGAGGGCCGTCTTGAAGACATAGACCACTGAAATTGAGGCGAGGTATCGGACTGATGTTTCCCACACAAGGACCCGGGGTACCTGTCAATGACACATCAGCCATTGACGTAATCGTGGATCGGTGTGCGATGTTAACGTACCAGTCACCATCTGCGCCTTTTCATCAAGATTTAGGTTGCTGAGGAACGTCCTTGCCTTGCTTAATGCGGCTTCCCATCCCCCAATTCCGGTGATTTTTGCTGAGAGAACTTTAGTTTTTGTACGAAGAGAGGGCTAAAAAGTGAACTTGCGGGAAGGATAAACTGCTGGGCTGCCCCCATATTGACTATAACTTCCATACTGAGCACTGTTGGATTGTGCGGCCGCGAGTGCGACGAAGCAGAATGCCAAAGAACCTTGCATCATGTTGAGATGTAGACATAGTGAAGATATGCATCTTGGACGCCTTTTGTACCTACGATAAACCCTTTCCCCACCTTACGAACATACGCTAGTTTATACCGGTTCTTCGTCCGGGACGAATATTTACTCCCCGCCCGATCCGATTGCGGGGTCAATAGACCCGAAAAGCCATTGCAATTGCGCGCAAACATCTCCAGAGTGCCTGCATTTCCCGGCAAATGTTCGGTAGGCGCTTTGTGGATCATTACTAAGAGGCGGGGAAAAGCCAAGCGTAGAAAAGCTTCCTAGCGTCGGCCCATTATCGAGAGCGTGGAGGGGTTAAGGATTTTAGTATCGGCGGCTAGGATACAAGCAGCATAGCATACTAAAATCGTCGTACAGCTTGCAGGTTTGCATGCGTGTGCAGAGACATGTGTGCCTTCGGATCATGATTGTATTAATTCTTTTACTTCACTTGTTTTCGTATTTTTTTTCTACGAGAAGTACGCTGTGTTTGTTCGATTCCGACATTGGCAGGGAGGCACAGAACGGAATGGTAGGCAACGAACAAGGGTCGTGAACGTCACGAGCAGCAAAGAAAGCAAGGGCACTAGCTGTACTGTAAGTACCCCACTTGCGTGCGCGGAGTATTTTCTGCCGAGCATTAGGGAAAGGTTACGTCATTGTCTTGAAATGGAGAAGAACTACGGCTAGCTACCCAAGCGGTGTGATGAGCAGGGTCTCCACCTTCGGCATTGTTCCTCTTCATTTTCTTCACTAATAATAATATATTGGCTCCGGCCTTTCGGAACCATTTTGTGAAACAAAATTTCGGGATTTATTAGAACTAGTCATACAGGTATTCGAATCAGCAACCGCGCG